AAAATGGCAGCATGTTCCCATGTTTTCCAGATCCTTTGTAGGGTGGTTTTTTTTTTTGCTTCCTGTCAAGAGTAAAGATTCTTTTTGTATGAAAATCTTACTTTTTTTTTTTAAAGATTTTATTTATTTATGTGATAGAGCGAGAGAGCACAAGCAGGGGGAACAGTAGAGGGAGAGGGAGAAGCAGGTTCCCCGCCAAGCAGGGAGCACGATGTGGGGCTCGATCCCAGGACCCAGGGATCATGACCTGAGCCAAAGGCAGACGCTTAACCATCTGAGCCACCCAGGCGCCCCGAAAATCTTACATTGTTATAAGCATTTCTCATCATGAAACTCATAGTGCAGAGTTTGCAGCTTTTTTAAAGTAGGAAATTTATTCCTCTTATATAACTCTTCAAGTAGAGAATTTTCCAAGTGAAATATATTCTGTTGGTGGCACCTACTGGCAAAGATAAATCACTGCTTAGAGCTTACTGTACCTATACACAGACTCACCTCATATAGTAAGTAGTCTGGGAAAGATGATGGGGAATAGGAGAGGAATATATTGTGTTTACCAAAGTGGTCATTTCCTTTGTCTCCCAGAAGCATTGGTCCAGTGAAGTGGGAGGAGGAAGGACTTAGGCTATGCATTGCCTGTGGATTGCCTTAGTCTGGTGTTTGCCAGTATGTGCTGAGCTATTGTTAAAATTAAGTATTATTATAAAAGGGAGGTGTCCCTGTCCAACAAACTTGGGAAAGCTAGGTTAAACTATCTTAACCGGCTGTCAATTATGAGACATTTCTGAGCCTTCTGAAGTGTGTTTTAACTTCGGGGGTGGGGAGGGAGAGTGCCAGGTGCTTTTGTAGCATATGGCATTTGTCAAACTTTATTAGACCCTGGGGCCCCCTTTTTTTTTGTCTGAGCATCGAGATATCACCTGGAAGTGACCACTTTGATAAACACAATATATTCCTCTCCTATTCTCCATCATCTTTCCCAGTCTTACTTACTGTATGAGGTGAGTCTTTGTGTGGGTACCATAAGCTCTCAGCAGTGACACTCGTGGGAAATGATTCTCTGAACAGTATAGCTTGAGAGCAGCGTTTTCCCTCTGGCATCTTCTCTTGAAGGCTTTATAAGAGAAGGAACAGGCATTGGATTCTTGTAGTATTTGGTAGTTCTGAAATACCACATATTGGGATGGAGTCTGTTGTGATGGTATCAGTGCAGTTTCCTTACTTAGGCTGGTGCTACTACATAGACCACATCATTTTGCCATTGCGGTCTTTTTAATGCAGAGACATAGGCGTGTATATACACTAACTTTTGTATATGACTTAAAGGTATTTGTAGCCCTTATCCACACCCCCAGGCCATCTCTAGCAAAGAACTCCGGATTCAGATTTTCCCCAGTATGAATTTAATGGCAAGTGGATCTTACACCAGAACTTAGATATCTACATATTCCATGAATTACTTGGTGATGGTTATATCAGACTCCATTTGAAGAAATCACGTACTGTCACAGGGGCCAAAGGAAAGACGCCTGAAGAGAAAGAAAGGCCAGGCCTTAAATGGCAATTCATTAAGTACAGCTTCCCAAACAGGCCACCCCCTTAGAGCAGTGGCTCTCAAGTATTGCTGCTGGTACCTTCCCCCCTTGCTTCTGGCATCCAGCACACAGAGGCCAGGGATGCTGTGAACCGTCCTATAGTGCACATGATGGGTCCCCCAAAACACAGAATTATCTGACCCAAAATGTCAATAGTCCTCAAGTTGATAAGCCCTCAAGTCTAGCTGCTGCTTCCTAGATTGAGTCTTTCATTGGAAGTAGTATCAGAATAGGAAGGTCTGCATTTTTATTTACATGTAATGCTGCTTGGTAGATGTAGGAAGAAAGTGATGGTGATGAGAAGGGTAGGAAGTGAATAAGTCAGGTTTGTATTTCAAAGAACTTTCCTTTCCCAGAAGTGTTGAAGACTTAATGAGGGTTTCGGCTTTCAGATTGGTTTAACTCATAAAGTTTCATCTGAGAGTATGGAGGTAGGAAAACACCTTTCTTTTCTTCTGGCAGACTCATTGTTCTTTCTTACCTCACCCTTGAACCTGCGACCTTGTGTCTATTTTAATATTTAAGGAGTAAAAGTCAAAGTGATTAAGAAAAATTTTGGCTCTTACAAGAGAATTTTCTATTCATGCCATCCCTCCTTATCCTCACAGTCCCATGTTGTAGGCTGACAAAGATGGGGAATAGGAGAGGAATATATTATACTTAGCAAAAGTGGGTATTTCCTTGATCTCTCAGAAATATTTGCCCAGTAAAGTGGGAGGAGGAAGGGATTATGCCATGCTAGTGTCCTAGTCCAGTGTTTGCCAGTATGTGCTGAACTATTACTAAGAGATATAAAAGGGGGATGTCCATGTCCAACAAACTTGGGAAAGCTGGATTAAACTAATTTAACATGATTTAATTATAGGACATTACAGAGCCTTTAGTATCTTAATGAGATATTTTGTGACTGTATGTGTGTGAGAGAGAGAGGGAGAGGGAGAAAAGGGGGTGAGGTTGGGAGGAGAGAGCATGCACAGGAGCATACAGCATTTGTCAAACTTAATTAGACCCTGGGACCCTTTTCGCTCTGAGCATCTCTTGTGTCACCTGGAATACTCCTTGGAAATGCTCCTTTGATCAGTGTAGCTTGAGAGCAGCATTGTCCCTTTGGCAGCTTCTCCTGAGGGCTTTATGAGAGAAGTTGAAAAGATATGTATGATGGGGGAGCTATTCTAGCCACCCTAGGGCTTTATTAAATATATTTTTATTAAAGTGTATATCTTTATTCACTTTTATCAGGCCTTAAGAGAATAGTTGCTATTTTTATCAGAGGGGTTGTTTCTTTCTCAGCTATATAAATAAACACCATTTCTCTGTTTTGGAATGAATGAAAGGAAGAATTAAACTACAAAGAGGTTGTTTCTTTTGTAGTCTGTGGGGACTTCTGACTTTTATTTCCTCCCTGAGTGAGGAAGCTATTTAGGTAGCTTAGGTCAGAATAGCTCTGGTGGGTTCAGACTCCTCCTGTATAACAAAAGTTTCTAGTTTAAAACACTACATTTATGCATCCCTCATACATTTCCTGGGGTGCCTGAAGATGGGGGCAGGGACCTCCCATCTTTCCTCTACTTTATATACTTAACTTTTCATGTTTCCAGCCATACTTTCTTCTTCTCACTCTCTTAGAACCGAGGACATTGTGACCTTGCAAAGATGGCTTTGCAACTATCAGTCAGACCCAGAAGATGACGTACCGAGTCACTGTTCCCCCTTTATTCACTCCCCTGCCAACTTTATTAATCCCAAGTCCTTCTAGATAGCAGTAAAAGGAAAATTACATGGAAAAATACTACTTTTGTTTTTCTATACTCCATCTTCTTCTTCCCATTCAGGATCATTTATCTGTCTTCACTCTAGACTTGTTTTGGCCTCTTGGACACATTGCCTTCCTCTCTAGCTCTTGGCTTTCTCATACAGGAAGCCTGGCCCTTCTGCCCCTCTCCCCCATTGCAGACCTTGGCGCTGTGGGGCTTACAAGATTTTAGTGAGGGAGCCAGTGGATTTTCTCTATACGCAGCCATCTGGAGCTATTCTCTCAAGTCTGAGGTTAGAAAAGTATGAGAAGATAGCACTTGGGGGAAAGTAGCATCTTCAAAACAGGACATAAACAGATTTTTTTGAATACCAGTTACACACCAGGCAGTGTGCTAGGGAGTCTGAATCCCCACAACACTTTTATATGGTTTGTATTTGTCCAAAGATCGAACACACACACACACGCACTGATGAGTGACCAGATTGGCATTCCAACGTCTCTCTGGTTTCAAGGCCTTTGACTCTTGTACTACATCATACTGTATCCCTCATCAGAGCCAGCAATGTGACCTACAGTGCACTAGTGTTCAGTGGTATTTCTTCTGTCATTACCCACATTGGGTTTTTCAAACAGATTGTTTGAGAATACTGTATGGGTTTGAAGACTTGAAGAAAATAAAGGAAAAATAGGGAAATTTTGAGAGATAGGCTTATCCCCAAAGGCAATAAACAGAATCTTGTAAACATTCATAACTTAAACAGATCTGTAGGATCCTTTTGAATACTGCTACGGAATGTTATAAATTTTATACCCTAATGTTAGAATTTTAGGTTTGGGAAGGAATCTTAGAGGGACTTAAATTGTCATTCCTTTCAGAGCACAACTCTCCTACTTTCCCTTCTCATTAAGTTTCCATTTAGCCATTAGGTAGGAGCTTCAAAAGGGAAAATCCAATCATGTATAATCTCCAGTTAATGGGCATCTATTGAGCGACTAGGTCACCAGAAAGATTACACAGTGCCTCTTTGTGCAGTAAACACAAAAATCAAAAGCTAATGCATTCCCAAGGCAAGCCAGATTGTTACTGGCTACCAGCATCCTCCTCTTCAGGGAAAAAGTTGGGGTACCCACCATGCTTGCTAAGGGAGATTGTAAAGCCCGTCCAGAAAAACAAGGTTATCAAGGGAGGAAGGAGAAAAGCAGAGAGGGCTTCCAGAGCTTTGTCAGTCCTACTTGCTGAATGATGGTTGGGATGGATTCCTGAATAGCAGACATTCTAGTTAAATGCTTTGAGCAATCATCAAGAACTTAGTGGGTCTCTGGGCTTCTTGCCACAAGTGAAAGAGTAACAGTGACGACTGAGGTAGAGCCTCAGTCCCAGTCCCATAATTTAGCTGTTTTCTAAGCATGCCCAACCTTCATAAATAAAGACTTTATGCTTACTTTTGTCCAGCCACTAACTGTATTGATTTATGAAAGATGAGCACAACCCTCTTGACCCAAAATGGCACGTGTTAGTCACAAGCCAAATAGTTCTTGGGTTTGTGTCAATACATTCTAGTTTGGGATTTCAAAATTATATTTTGTTGTAGTTATTTAGGATTTGTAAAACTCGGCATAATTCAAATAACCTGTTTTTCCCCCCTTAGAACACTTCAGTTATGGAGGATCAAAATGAAGATGAGTCCCCAAAGAAAAATACTCTTTGGCAGGTAGGAATGACGACGCACAGATAAGATAGCAGTTGACTTACTATAGATAAGATGCTCCCTCAGCTCATGTCCTCAATAAAAACAAGAGCCAAGCATTCTCCTTTGTGCATTTTTGCTAGTTTCAGAATTCACCCTAATTTATCTTCTGTTCCTTAGGGAAGTGTCATTATGAATAGTAAAGAATTTGGGGGTTACTACAGAGATTCTGAAGTGTCTGTAGCCTAAAATACTCAGTTTATTGCCACGGGCCAAGCCAAAGGTGGTGTCCTTTGTCACCAGAATAGTACCATGCCATACCATTGTGTGCATTGGTGACTTAGTCTTGCTACCCTCACCCTTCTCCCCCATTTGTTAGTTTGCTCTTTCCTTTTAAACTCTGTTTTCTTCTCCTCTGGCTCTGTTTTAGTCTGCCTGTTTCCCTCCCTATCCCCCAGGGTTTTTCTGTTTTGTTTTTTGTTTGTTTGTTTTGCCAGTGGGGGAATGTGGACAGTGGTATGTAAAGTTTCATGATTTGATCCTTTCATCAACCATTATGGTACAAATAACTTTTCCCTTCATTAAAGACACTATTAAAAGCAAAACAAATCTTAAATAATGTTAAAATATTCTCTGGGTTCATTTTATTTGAAACAAAAGGAGTAGATTAGTTAGTAAGAATAAAGTATGCCCAACAAATTTAAGGTGGAAATGAAACAAAGCAAAACAATGCCAGGAAGATGCTTCTGGTCCCAGCAGGTGGTTAGAAGTAGAAATGGAAAATGTGCTGTAGAATTTACTATTTGGGGGAACTGTGTGCAGACTGACTTCTGTTCCTCCTTCACATTTGTTATTTTCCAATAGGAGTCTCTTCATTTACTATGGATTTTTCAATTCACAGTGGCTCTTAACACTTTGGCTTTCGGTTTTTCTTTCATAAGTTCTGCTTTCAGTCAACTAGTTATTCATATGCCAGTGCTGTAGGGAAGCTGGGTGGTTAGGAACCCTTCTGCTGTAGATGAAATAATAACCCTGTTGCTTATCAAATGAGATAATGGATATGAAAGTATTTTGTAAATTATAAAGCAGTACACAAATGCAAGTTGTTACCATCATCTTTAACCTGTTACGAAAGCAATTATTTTGACAAGTTATAATGAACAAAATATAGAAAGAAAAGAGGAAGGAAAACATACAGCTCTTTTTCTCAAGAGTAGGCACATTTAGCATTTTTGTACATATCCTTTACTCTGTCTTGTGTGTTCCCCTTCACACAAGTAACTATAATTATAATGCTGTATAAAATTGTGCATCTTGCCTTTTCTTTCTTAACATGATTTCATAAACATGTTCTCTTGTTATTAAAATCTTACTTTATAAACCTAATTTTAATGGCTCCATTATAGTACTCTATGTAGATGCATTATTATTTGCTTTAGCCAGTTGCCTGTAGTTGGGCAGTTATTTCTAATTTTTCTGTTATAACATTATGGTGAACACCCTTATACTTAAAAGTAGCAAAGTAGCAAAGATGCTCCTTATGCCAGCAGATATTCATCACAGTGAAGAATTTTCATTTTTTTCTGACCTTTCAATGTTGATTTTTAAGGTCTGTCAGAGGTCTTACTATAAGCAGCATCAAAAATTTCTGTTCAATGCTGCCCTCTGGTGGTACCCAGTGTCAGTGAGCTCTCCTTCACCCAAATGACAAGGGGAAAAAAAAATGGTACTCCCGTGTCGTTGAGCTTTTCCTCACCCAAATGACAAGGGAAAAAACATTCCTAGAGAAGGAGGTGGTAAGATAAATGGGGTGGGAGCCGAAAGCCTTCTGACTGTACCTCTAAATGTGGACATAAATCTTGCTTCAGGCAGGTATGATATATAAGATTTTAATAAGGAAGGCCAGACTTCTATGGATATTTATGGGATGGATTCAGTCCATTCTAATTTAGGGGACATAGTGATAACAAAGCTGTTGGTTCTTTCTGTGTGGAACTTCTGAGATAAGCTCCTAATGGAATTAATGCATGTTTGTAATATAACTCTTCAGTTATCAAAATTCTCTTCTATGCTAGTCTTTTTGGTATTACACATGAAGGGGCTATCAAAGGAGTGATGGGCAGATAGCTTGGCAAATGTTTGATAAAAGCATGGAGGTAATTTTGTTTTTAAACAGATGTTATTGAGCCTTATAGCATCAGTGACAGTTGTGGCTTCAGTCTAGGCATTCCTGTTTTTTTTTTTTTTTTCTGTTGCTGTTGTCAGATGCGGTGTATGTAGTTTTCATTTGTAGAACAATATACTGGTTTTGTGCAAGGACCATGTAGATTTGATGAGAAATGCACAGTTAGTATAGGAGTCTGTGGGATATCATAGGCCAACTCTATAGGATAAGGATCATTTCAGGAATATGTGGTTTACCTTGGGTGACTTTAGGAGTAGGTGATCAAAAAAAGGGAGTGAAAGTCTAAACTTTTTTGCCAGCAGTCTAGTAACCCTGGATACAATTTGGAGATGGATTCAGTTTTTAGATTGAATTGCCTTCAGGTTTCTTCATTAGATAGACCAGTGGTTTTCAAAGTGTGTTCTGTGGACCAGCAGTGTCAATACCACCTGGGAACTTGTTAGCAATGCAAATTCTCAGGCTGCATTCCAGACCAATAGAATGAGGACATCTGTGGTGGAGCCGGGCAATCTGTGAGTTAGGAAGCCCTCTTGTTACTGTGATGCACACAGGTCTGAGAACCACTGGCATAGAGGAATATAGCATTGACTTTGGTCTTTGGGGAAGTAAAACAATCATTGCTACTTGGCCAAGTTGAGCAAGTTCTCTAAGATGGTTATCTAATAGCCCCATGGTTTTAGAATAAGCTTTGGAGAATGATGACTTGAGATGCCATTTAGCTTTATAAATAGCTGTAAATTTGACACTTACTTTAGAGACTAATTTGAGAACACAGGCCCTGAAGACATTTTAAATTACTTCATGAATGAGTTAATGAAGGAATGAGTTTGACTTTAAGGTATAACTGGCATTTTAAGATTAAATGCACAGGGTGAAAAAATGTTTCCAATGAAATACTAATTAGATTTCTTTTCCTTATCAAACTAATTAATTTTTTCTTTATTTTTCTAAAATAGATAAGTAATGGAACATCATCTGTGATCGTCTCCAGAAAGAGGCCATCAGAAGGAAACTATCAAAAAGAAAAAGACTTGTGTATTAAATATTTTGACCAGTGGTCTGAATCAGATCAAGTGGAATTTGTGGAACACCTTATTTCACGAATGTGTCATTATCAGCATGGACATATTAACTCTTACCTGAAGCCCATGTTGCAGCGGGACTTTATTACTGCTTTACCAGGTAACTGTACTTGTCTTTTAAAAAGCTGACCAGTGGAAGAATGTCCAGCCCAAGGGCCTAGGTGGAGCTGAGTAGATATTTGTGAAATGCATGAGTGAGTACAGTGTGACTACAGTGTGAGTTTCTTTGGAACCCATATTGTATTTTAATATATGGCACTTGAAAAGGAGTTATAATGTAGCATCTATATAGGAAATGTAGGCCGTTTCTGCGATTAATGGTGTTGGTCTTTGGTCATATTATTGTTTCATTTAATTTAATGAGTTAATGCTATGCTGATAGTTTTGATGTAGTCTATATATAATCTGTATTTTGCCTTTATAAGTAATTTTTAAAAATATGAGACAATTTTTCCTACAGTGTTTGTGTTTTAAGAAGTGTCCCAAAGTTTAGGATGTTCCTTTGTACCTGAAGTGACATTTAGGATAGGGAATGGCAAAAATATATTGGAAAAACTGATAGCATGTCTTTATTACATATTTTGAAACTTATTTCTGCATCTTCTCCCTCATTATCTCTCTCTCTCCCTCTCTCTCTTTCCCTATCTCCCTCACACCCACATACTCCTCTGGTTAAGTTTACTTTGATTAAAAAAAAAAAAAACGACTATTTTTTAGAATAGTTTTAGGTTTATAGTAAAATAGAATATATAGAGAATTCCCATATTTTCCATATCTTCACCCCACTCCCCATCACCATCCCATCCAGAGTGGCTCATTTGTTATATAACACATAGGCCTACATTGATACATCATTATCACCGAAAGTCCATACTTTACGTTAGGGTTCACTCTTGGTGTTGTACACTCTGTGGGTTTTGGCAAATATATAATGACATGTATGTATCGTTATAGTATCCTATAGAATGGTTTCAGTGCTCTAAAAATCCTCTGTGCCCTCCCTATTCTATCCCCCTTTGATTTTTGATCACTCATTAATTCTCTTTTCTCTCTCTTTATCACTCCTCCTCTTCCTCTTCCTCTTATTCTTTTAATTTTAAATATAAATTTGACTAGGTAAGATAGATTTCACTTCTGAAGAGAATGGTAGCCAGAATGTTTTCTTTTAATACGGTCAGTGTAGTCTAGAGGTTACAACTGCCATGCCAGGGTAGACCTACAATTGGCCAGGGATAAAACAGTGCCATTGCCACCAGCCCTAACCTATCAGAGCTTCGGGACAGCTCTTCAAAGAGAAGCTCCTCTTTTAGCCTGTCTGTGATTTACAGTGCATCAGGATTCCATATTCTAAGGATTTCCATAGCAGATAGGACCGGGGCTCAGGTCTCTGGGCAGCTTCGAATTTCTAATCCTTCTTCCAAAATGTGTTCGTACAATGGGGAGTGTTTAAGGATGTTTGAGAGTTAGCTTAGAAAATTTTTACTCTCCTGTTGTTTTTATGCTTAAATGTAGTATTGTTTGCCCTATTTCATTCATTAGTATTTCTAGAAAAGAAAATAAGAACCCTCTCTTTTTAGAATTGTATAGTATTTAATTGCTAAGAGGCATCTTAGCCATCCTTAATCCTCTTTTTCATTGTATAGACTGGGAAGCCAGCGATCAGAGAAATTGCATGAAATGACAAAGATCATACATCTTGGTTATTGTGTTGATTATGTGGGTGATGGTGGGGGCTGGTTCAAAAGTTAGTGCAAAGGCTAAAATCATTATAGTTAGGATTACTCTGGAAAATTCCTTAAATTGGTCCTAAGTATAGAATACATGTTTACAACCCAGTTCAGTAATAATTACTTTTACTTAGAGAGAGAGAGAAACAGATACGGTTTTAATTGTATGAGAGGGAGGGAGGGCGAAGAGGTCGGGGAGAGGGAATTATAGGTGGGTTTAAGTAAGGTGAGTGAGCCTTTGGTGCAGCATCTCTGGTTTGTGCAGTGCCAGAACTCAGAACGCCTGGCACCCAAGTCTTTCTGTGGACTCAGGTTGCATCTCACATCAAGAAAAAGATAGGGCAATTTTTATAAAGTGGATGATTGTAATTGTTCCTCATAAGGGCTTTTAACTAAGTGAAGTTATGGCTTCATTTTTCTCAGGCAAATCTGTTGTTTTTTTGTTTGCTTTCTACTGTTTTGGTTTTATTTTATTTTTGCCTGTAATTTGCTTCTCAGACATTTTAGAGTGCCAAGAAACTCACCTTATATTTACAGAATATCCACGAGGTGGCACTGTTGAAGTTCTCTTGATTTGCAGAATGTAGTTCAGAGGCAACCCCTTCTCTTGGGGAGTGTATGGTCTTGGAGAAGAGACAGAACAGATGAACATGTGTTATGTATATAAATATGGTTAGTATAATTGCATACAATTCAGTTTTCATTACAGCGAATTTTAAGGCATTGTCCATATCTCTGTTAAAGTGGAATTTTGTGGTATTGAATATTACATGAAATGAATGAACCATTGGCTGGGACATGGAAATATTTTTGTTAAAATGCTATTTGTTTTAAAAGGATTTGATCTGAACATATATACATATGTCAGTGTATATCATACGTATGAATCTAATAGCTGGGGACAAGCTGGCCTAGTTGATTGTGTTCATGTCTAGTAGACTTGGATTAAAATTGGCGTTAGTTCCTTAACAAAGACCCTGCCTTAAGAGTATTAGGGAAGAAACAGGTTCATGTGCATGTTCATACTTAAATTTAATAATGGGTGGAGCAACTTACTAATCACTATTCTAGTTTGGTGTTTAACTTTTACTGTAGACGATCTTGAGTTTGAAGTTTTACTCTGTTGAAATTGTCAACTTAAGACGTCTTTTGATTGTAGAAACTATTAATTCTATAAAAATTGTCTATAGTTCTCACTTTTAAATGCTTACTGTGAATATCATACCTGTCAGTATAGGGAAAATGGAAAATGTTTGTGGTCTCTGGCTCCTTTTGGTTCAGTGGAAAAAGTGATAATTATGATATGCTTTTCTAAAAATCATGGTAAATGTTTAGTCTGCAATGTCAATTTCTGCAGGCTAAGTTTGTGGTTTGTGAGAACTGTTGTTAAAGGGAAAATTTATACCATTTGAAGTAGAGGCAGATTGTACTTCAAAGAGGATGATAAGCATTGGAGATCCTTTTGGTGAGGTATCTGAGCAATTAAGAATTTTGAAACACTTAGCTTCCTGGCCATGGTTTATTCATTTGTCTTATCCCCAAGTAAGGATGATAAACCATTATGGACTGTAAATGTGACAGACTAGATCAAAGGTCTTGGGAGACATGGAAGAACCAGAGCGTAGCTAAGGCTTTTTAGGCTGGATGCAGGGCCAAAGACCAGCATGACAGAGTGGAAAGAGCTTGGGTGTTGGATTTACACAGCCCCTAAATTTGAATCCCAGCCCCTGCACTTAATAGTTCTATGAGCCCACTTTTTGGAGCCTCGGTTTCCTTTTTTGTGTGGGAATAATAATAATACTTCATGGGATATTGTGAAGATTAAGAACAATGTATGTAATATGCCTGACATCTGGTGGGTATTCTGAGGATGGTAGCTTAAAAAAAAAAAAGAAAGAAAAAAAAAAAAAAAAAAGCCCGGAGAAGCAGGAAACACCTGCTTCTCCGGAGGTTAATAAGATTTGTTGCCAGGAAGTTTTAATTATTCACCCGCTAATTTCTGAATTGATTCATCTTGACATCATATAGGTAGGCATTTGCACCACTTTGTTGGTACAACAACATGTTGGACTTTGTGACCTGAGTGTCATTTCACTTCAATTCTGTCTGAATCTTTAGGTCAGTATATTCCTAAAGACATCCATTGACGTCCTGTTGCTGTCAGCAGTTGTATTGTTTTTTTCTTTCAAAAGGTTTCTAACTTCAGATTTTACAACTAGATCTGTGACTAGGAAGGGACAGCAGGAGTGGGTGGGGAAGGGAGTTTCTTTGCAGCTGCTTTTCGAAATGTGTTTCTAAAATAATAAAAGGTACTATAATTGTATGATCTAAGCAGCTGTGTTAAAACTGGCTGTAGTCAAGGGCATTGAACTGACATTTTACAGTTGAGTTTCATTTTGGTATAGTGTTATTTACATGTTGAGCTTTGAAATTTGTGCCTTTTAATTGTTTTAATTTATTGAAATTTTTCCAGACCTTCATCTGGTGCCTATAATTAGCAACAGAAGCACGTCCTCAGCATTGTGTATGCCGTGTTCTGGCCTCGTTTTCTGAAACCATAATGTGTCCTCTTGTTGCCTTGGGAAGGGGGGTGGTGATGGGAGATGGGGAGTCTCAGCAGGATAGAGTCAGTGAGAGCCAGATATTGGTACTTAAGAAATGCTTAGTTTTTTTTTTTTAAGATTTTATTTATTTATTTGACAGAGAGATAGTGAGAGCAGGAACACAAACAGGGGGAGTGGGAGAGGGAGAAGCAGGCTTCCCGCGGAGCAGGGAGCCCGATGTGGGGCTTGATCCCAGGATCCTGGGATCATGACCTGAGCCGAAGGCAGACGCTTAACGACTGAGCCATCCAGGTGCCCCAAGAAATACTTAGTTTTAACACCTCAAAGCGCTTATTAGCCGGAGCAAATGGACCACCTTACTCAGTAACTTCTTTGTCCTGAATAGGCTTGAAACAAGGAAGTTAAATGGTCTGCATGGCCTCGGGGGATAGCTATTCTAAGGTGTTCAGATAGAGGTTGTGGGATTCCGATACCCTAAACATTGAAGGGAATGTGAGTGGGCTTAGCACTTTGCTAGAGTGCAACATTTTCTCTGCAGAAAATAACAAAGAAGAGCAACATTGCTTAGCTTCTTTGACCAGTGATATCAGCTAAGGGGATTTGGGCATGAGGGAAGAACAGAGACTGACACTTAGCAAGTACCAGTTCTGTATCGGGCTCCTTAATAACCTCTTCCTGTTAATTTTCCTAACAAGGCTAAGTAGTTCATAAAATGAGCATATTGAGAGTAGCTGTCTCAGAGGGTTATTGTGCAGATTATATCAGATCATCCACTTCAGCTATTTAATATCATTGCTATTTTATGGAAAACTGAGATCCAAAAGGGAAAACTGATGTGCTTCATTCAACCCAGGTTATCTGACTCTACAGCCAGTGCATTTACCAAGAGACTAAAACATGCTGCCTCCTAGAATGATGGTATGAATTTCAAGTATTATCCGAGGAAAGTGAATCTCATAGGTGTCATAGAGATGTTACTGAATTGGAGTGAGGGCATTTTGAAAGAGGAGGAAATATGTGTTAGAGATTTCCTTATGCAGAAACCCAGTGATAGTCTAATGGTGAGCTATTGAAGGGGGAAAATATCAAAGAGGACTAAAAAGGGTATCATGGCTATAAAGCAGTAGTTCCCAACGTTCAGAATTATCTGGTGGCACTTCCTAAAAATACAGATTCCTGGTCCTCACCATCTAAAGATTCTGATTCAGTAGACCAGAAAAAATGTCCAGGGAATCTGTTTTTGTTGCTTGTTGTTTTTGTTTATTTGTTTTAAAAATCACTTCCCTAAGTGACTCAATTACAACCACACAGGCTTCTGAGAACCAGCTCCTAGACCACCCAAGCAGGTGGAAGATTTGGATGCTGCTTTCCCAGTTCATAGTCAGACAATGGGGATATTGCACTTATTGAGAAAGCAACTATCTGATGCAATCTTGTCTCCTATTCATGTCCTCTCTCAGAGAGCAGGGGACTCACGATGGGAATTGGTTTAGGGGTGTGTTTATGACCAATTAGGAGGATTTGGTTAATGATATGGAAATAAACTAGATCTTGAAAGGTGACTGTGTTCTCATAGGACGTGTAGAAACTAGAAGATAGTCAGGTAAGTACCCAGAATTAGAAAAATTCAGAGAAGAGCTAAATCTATTAGCCCATGACTAGAGACACTAGGAGAAAATATGAATATAGAGGTCTGAGAGATTCTGAAATTTGAAATTCTTGTTAATTTGTTAGTCCTAGCAGTGGAGGGCTACAAGTAAGACTGTATGTGATTATCCATGGATTTCCCTGATTTTAAATGAAGATGGAAGAAAGGGGCACATGATCATGGAGATACACAAAAAGGAAACCAAAGCTCCTACAAACAAGCAGACCTAAAGACATTGTGGGCCAGGATATTGACAGGACCTGTAGTTGTGATTTTCAGAATTGTGGAACATTGAGAAGAAGCAGAGCTGCTGGGTACAGGTGTGTTTGGTGGCCTTGCCTGAGAGCACCCTGGGATATGATTGGTGAGCACTTTTCCTGGTTTTAAGAACTGGAGAAGTAGAGGTGGGTGTATTTGGGTGATGTTGGCTGATAAATTTGATGTTATACTCTAGCATACCTTTAAAATGGATTATCAAAGGTAAATAATTTGCAGCCAAAAAGACTCTGTAGGGTTGTGTAAGCCTAGAAGGATGTATACGGAATGTTAGGAGCCCTGATCTCTGAGAGGATTTAGGGATTAAACATTTTTTGCTTATATGGATTTTATAATTTTTCTGTAATGAACTTGGGTTATATATGTTTAAAAAAAGGGACACAAAGCAGCTACTTGCCAACTTGTAAACAAAAAATGTGATACCAGCTTTACGTAGTAAGCACCAGCAAGAGAATACAAAGTGTAGCCATACCAAATTCGCCTGACATCGGGGTAGGGGAGGGGGATAAGGTTATCAGATTAGTGGGTCAGAAGAATGACATAAAAGGTAAAGGTAGTAGGGTCTTTATATGGGGCAGTTTCTCCAAATATTCAGACACATTTGAATAGAGAGATATAGGCTGAACAGTGGTACATCCAGATGGTTACAGAACCAGTGGCTCAGTATTGGTATGTGTGAGTATTTCATGAATAGACCCACAGAAGCCTGGATAGAAATATCTAGAATCATGGGTGCTGTCCTTGGTTCTGACCCATTTAACATGTTTGCCAAGAACTTGGGATAAAGACTTCCTGCATTTGACCATCACGCGGAATTTTGGTGTGGAATACCCACTCTTCTGGAGGACAGAATCAGAATTCTAGAGGCTGACATGGAAGGGTCAGATCAAGTCTCAAAGGTGAATTATAGCAAGGATAACTATAAATTCCTGCATGAAGCTGCCCTTCATCTCTCCATTAGCCATACAAATTTAGACCTGGGGGAATTTTTAAAAATAAATATTGTTGGGGAACAGGCTTAGAAATTTATTTTAACTTACTGCCATTTAGGAATCTACTGTGATAGGACTACTGGATAAAGGTGATGTAATCTTTGCACCAACTGTAATATAATGACATGTACAAGAAAAGATCGTGGCTTTAGGGTAGTCTTCATGATCAGGTCAGAGCTTGGGTATTAGGTTTAGACCAGAGTAGGACAATTAGTATATGAAAGGCTTGTAAACCAGAGTCGACAGTAGAAAGTGTCATTCTCAGAGTTGAAGACAACATTAGTTTGTGAAGCATTTTAATGCATCATCTCATTTTGATACTTTCAAAATAGAGATTATTTCCCCATCTTATACAGATGAGAAAACTGAGCTCTGAAACTTTGAAGACTTACCTATTTCCTGCCAAGTTAGTGCCACTATATGGCTTCTATTTATCTTGAAAAAGAGAGCAAATATTAATCTTGTATGGTGCTTTGTTGTCTTTAAAATCTTTCCATAAAATTCTTTCATTTGATTCTTAACTGGTGGTGTGAGAAAGGACAATGGTTACTGGTAATTACCATTTTATAACAGTAAAAGACCAAGGGCCAGTTATATTTCAATATTTATTTCATGTCAAAGAACTGCTACATGGTGAATCTAGACTTGAAATTGAAATTTTCTGCCTGTATGTTTAGCATTCCCACCACTGCAGTAGGCCTGGGGGTGAGCTTTATTTTTTGTAGTTATGGAGGGCTTGACTAGAACCACAGGGTGGGAGTTTGCAGGTGGCCACAATGTTGACTATGTTGACACCATGGTAGTGTCAGGCAGACTCTGAATATTAGTTGTCTTTGGGAGGACCCTTGCATTGCGTGGGATAAGCCTCATAAGGTTGAAGAATTTGTAGGCATGTATGGTTCTTGCTTTTGAGGATTTTACCTCCGTAAGAAGGAGATGAAGAATGATTGACAAAAATACATCTAAGGAGACCTGACTTTAACTCTTAGATTGTCACTTAACTTTTCATAAGCTTTTTAAGCTGTGTCAGTGTTTCACCTTTTTTGTCTCCTTGGCTCCGAGGGATTCACATAGGTCATGTATTAGGAGGATGATGTGTTACGAGAGACGGTAGGTCAGAGGGGAAAGAACACCAACTTAGGAGCAAGAGATCAGAGTTGCAATGTAGTCTTTACTACTCTATAGTTGTGAAACCTTGAGAACTTTACCTCTCTGTGCCTCATCTGTAAAATTTGAGGAATCATTCTCCTGTAGTGGTTTTGTAAAAGAGTTATGTAAAAGAAAATGCAAAACAAGTCTTTTTTCATAATATCTGACAGAAAACTGTCCAGGATCGGCTTTTACACGCAGGAACTGTTGCCATAAATTTATGTATATACATACATACGTACATATACATATACATACCTATATACATGCACACATATGTATGTATATATATTTCTTTAAAGCCAACCTGGGGCTTGAACTCAATGGCCCTGAGATCAAGAGTTGCATGCACTACCGACCAAGCCAGCCAGGCGCCCTGCCAGCAATTGTTTTATCTTAAAAACTCAGAGCCAAAAAGAAGCGTATGTGTTTATGTACTCATGCACTTGTATATCTGCAGAACTTTTGATACTACTCAAGTATGTTACCTGTTTCAGGATTTCTTTATTCCTCTTCCCTTTACAGAAATGGTGACTGGTACATTTCCATCTCCCTTCCCATTCCTTCACTGCCTTTTCTATTTTGTAGAGCAAGGCTTAGACCACATAGCAGAAAACATTCTTTCTTACCTGGACGCCAGGTCTCTGTGTGCAGCAGAGCTGGTATGTAAAGAATGGCAGCGAGTGATCTCTGAAGGAATGCTTTGGAAGAAGCTGATTGAACGAATGGTGCGCACTGACCCTCTATGGAAGGGGCTTTCAGAAAGAAGAGGGTGGTAAGTTCTTGGGTTGTTTGTTGCCTTGAAAAAAGTTTCTTGGTACATAGGGTCAGTTTGACTGCTTAAATAAGCAGTTATACTTGCCAGATGTGTTGGCCCATTTTCAACAGGTGGGAAAGAGGAGTGGTCTGGAGTGGTGGCGGGGTGGGGTGGGAGTTAAAGCTGTTAGAATAATTTCTTTTGCAATGCATATTTCCTTTATAAGGATTAACCGCTAGGAAGTATTATATAGTTTGAATGAGTGATTTGCCTTTTCAAATCTATGTATTTATGGTTTTCCTTTCGCATTCTTCTTTTTTTTTTTTTTAAGATTTTATTTATTCATTTGAGACACAGAGATACAGAGAGAGAGAGAGCATGAGCAGGGGGAGAGGCAGAGGGAGAGGGAGAACCAGGCTCCCTGCTGAGCCAGGAGCCCGATCTGGGGCTCAATCCCAGGACTCTGGAATCATGACCCGAGCCGAAGGCAGATGCTTAACCATCTGAGCCACCCAGGCGCCCCCTTTCACATTATTCTTAAATGATGATACTATTACCAAAAGATAAGAAAAAAAGAAAATATAAGAAAGTCAAATAATGCCATTTTGCTATTTGTCATTGCTTCTGATTGAAGATGTGGAAGGCACAGTGGGCAGGAGTTTTCAGATAACCCATTAACTTATATACAACTTTAGAGCCTTGTACACCTATGTAACATGGCCCACTTAGCACAGAGAGAATGTTACAGATGGAAGTACGGGTTGCAGTGTGAGTAAGGGTTAGGGCTATATTTTCTTCATGGGAAGAAGTTTGATGTGTACCAAGTAAGCTTCATTAAGATTTTTTATTAAATTATAGAATGAAAGGCTATATTAATAGGTGTTGGGTGTTCAGAAAATAAAAGGCCAGGATTATGATATAGAGCTGGAAATTAAAGTACACTTGTGTCCAATGTGTGAATTTAACGGTCAGAAACCCTGCTTTTAACTGAGTTGAAAGGTACAGAATCTTTGTAAGCACCATGTTTAAATAAAATTCACCCTTTTATGTGCAAAAATGTAACATTTGTTTGTTTTTATTTGCCAGGGATCAGTACCTGTTTAAGAACAGACCTACAGATGGCCCTCCCAATTCATTTTATAGGTCATTATACCCAAAGATTATCCAGGATATAGAGGTAACTTTATGATTTATCTGTTTTATGGGCTCTTTGTGTCTTGTTCTCAACTTTTTATGTTGCCTTAGAGTGTTTTTTGATCTAGCAGCATGGAGCTAGTAATTTTTTTTTAAGTTGAACTCTTGAAGCAAATGTGTCATAATCAGTGTATAATCTGCAGCCATTCTTCAGAATAGATAATGCCTGTTTGTAAAAAAATGATCTAATTTTTCTAAAACGTGAAATACGTCTGCAAGGTTGCCAGTTAATTAAAACCTGAATCCAAAGTCAGCTTTTTATTCTGATTTGATAAATTTTCCAGAATCCAAGGCACAGTTTTTCAGGTCAGCAGTTTTACATTTTGAGCCATCTCGAGGGAACTGGAGAAGGCACAGTCTCAGTTTCCTCTGTAAATTTCCCATAACTTTTTTCATAAAAATGACTCAAATATGATTCTAAGCAATAGTTAAGTGGGTTTTATAGAGCATATTATGCTCCTGGACCATTTTGGATGTGAGTGTAACTTCACCAGACCAGTAAAACTCTGTAAACTTGATGAGAAACATTGGAGATGTTTGATATCATTCATGTGTTCTAATTAGTTCAGTTTTATTATTTAGCTCTTTTCCTTGAACCAGGAAAGACATGCACAGGCATTTCTCATTAACTCTTTCACACGTGTTCTTGGCAGGTCTTGGTTACTTCAGTATTTCCTCCTTGGCGAAAAGTTTAGCCTTTGCTAGGCAGTGCTGTATCACCCATAAAGTTATACTCAGTTTCCCAAATGTGAAGTAATCCTCTCCCCCAGGTGATAGACATAAAAGTTACTGTGCCAAAATTCATTAATGGAGAAACATACGCCTTTTGGGGAGTCCGCTCCTCCCCCTTTAAGGCAGATGTGAACTGATGGAATCATTAGGCTAATGGTAAATCTCAATGTGACTAGAATATCATATTTAAAAAACAAATCCTTGTCTTGAGTAGACAGCTCCCTAAAATGAGCTGTAAAGTAATCTTTTAGGGAAGGCTAAATATATAAAACTTCTGCCTGACAAATCATAAAGTTTAGGAATTAATTGATCCGTTGGCAGTTCAAAACTTAGAATAAATTGCTCCTACAGTGTCGGAGCTGAGACACAGTGTTAACTTGAACCTTAAGTTGGGATGTGTGTGTGTGTGTTTCAGGGGAGAGGGGCTGTCTCTTACTCCGAGACAGTTGTACTCAGATATTGCTTATGCATATATATTAGAACCTATATTACTTGTTGCTTTTTTTCCCAACTATTCTTTACAGAGTATCTCTAAATTTCTTTGAATAATTTTAGCAAGTCCTTTGTTATGAGAAGGACAATGTTGAAAGTCAATATTAATAAATGGGAACTCTGGAAGAACTTTGATCAGGCTGAAGATTTTGGTGACATAGATTATTTTATTTAATCCTCATGAATACTGTTTTAATCGATAGTATGAACTCAGTATTCTGTAGCATGATAGCATGTGACACCACCTACCATAACCATTTCCTCAGGCTGAAATAATATTTTAAAGTTAGTGGAGGAGGCAGATGTGAGGGAAATGGAGCTATGGGGGAAAACCCTATTTGATACAAAACCTCTACATCATGGTGGTCTACCCAGTGGTTCTTAAACTGTGGTTTGGGAAAACCCACTGGTTGGCCACAAGAGTCTCCTCCAGATTTTTGTGGGCTAGATCTCTTAGTGTAAGGGATAATGTTTTATACTTTGGTATATTCACTAATAGTAGTAATAATAAAAAAATAATGTATCACACATATAATAAGAGTGTTTACTTGTGCTAGATACTTTGTGAAGCATTTTATAATACACTTCATTTAACACTCTGAACAATGCCTTGAAAGGTAGGCCATGGTCTTATTTAAAGTTAAGGAAACTGAAACTTAACAAGGTTAAATAGCTTGCCCCAGAACACATAGCTAGTGAGTAACAGAGTCTGTGATCAACCTTATATTCTTCTGCACTTAATACAGCTTTCTGTATTATGGATCACTGGTACCTCATCAAAATAGAGTTCTTTACCTCTGTTTTGGGAGTATGTTTTACTCGGTCCAGGGTGGATGCACACGTAAAGGGTTGTGTCAGTGATCTATGGATCAAACAAATGCAGACTCAAGGGCTTGGCTCTTGACCATATGGCTGGTATGAAACTCTTATGGCAGAATATAATAATTACAGTACCCTCTTTTGAGCCTTTGCAGTATGCCATGAACTGTGTTGGGTGACTTACAGAGATTATTGCATTTAATTCTTACAAGGTACATATTATCCCCATCTGTAACAAGTGGAAGCTAAGGCTAAGAGAGGAGATGGGAATTTAACTGAGATCTGTCTAGCTTTAGGCTTAGTGTTGTTGTTTGTCATTTTCAAAGTTGGAAAATTCAAGAAGTGAAGGAGAAAGGTATGTTGTTGCATGCCTATGGACTTTGCAAGGTGATCTTCTCATCTTTCCCCAGTGGTGTGAGTACTCAGCATCCTTGAAAAAAAGGGTTTGAGTTAAGATAAGATTAATTGGCCTATTTTAGTTCCAGTTATGGGAAAGGTAGTATTTTAAAAGGGTTTTAAGCACATTGCTAAAAGATAAATTACACCCCCTGAATGCTAAGTGGATGTTTGTGCCCCCTGCCCAGTTGCCCATACACAGCTGCAGAGTCTGTGTGGTTACCATGTGCTTTGCAAAGTTGCCAATTCACAACACCTTTTTCTCTTTCTTTTTCTTGCTCTGCTTTGACAGCTCTATTTCATGTACTGGCTTCTGTCATCTGTCCATTCCCAGATTTGACTTTGATGAGCAGATGACCTTGCCCTTCCACAGTGACTTACAGAAATTGGCTAATTTTTAAAAAGAAGTAGAGAATCTAGCTTAGTGTGGCCAATCCCCATTATTCAGGAAATAAAGATGTGAGAGATGAAGTCTGGGAGAATAAATTAGAATTCTTAGCTTTCTGAGAAAGTTCATCTCTCATGGGTGTTCTTGCCACACAGAGAGAAGAGAGGGTTTAGAGTACCTCTGAGGTGAGAAGGAATTCCTGGAAAGACTGAGGCACATTCCTAAAGGAAGCAGCCATATTTCCTCCACTATCTAGAGTCTCAGTTGTTCTTCTTGTTACTGGTGAGCTTACTATTAGGTGCTTTGCTACAATGATTTAATTTAACCCTCAAATTAATCAAAACTGAGATTCTTAGTCCAAAGCTCATTCTCTTTTCATGCCCCCCCTCGTCCCCCCAGCATCTCTCAGGAGAGAGATGCAAGTTGTTATAATAGACTCCAGTCAATCAGAATTCTGTCTTGAACTTGGATTTTTTTCTGTTGCCATCTCGGAGTAGTGGCAAACTCTTTCATGTAATAGGTCTTTTCCCTCTTTTTATTCACTGGATTAAAGCCTTTGAAGCACTCTCCTTGGAATAGACCACTGGTAAGATGATGGTGTGTTGTATCGCACCTTTTAATAAACCACATTTTATTCAGGGAAAGTGGGGAGCTTTTTTGTGGTTTGCAAACTTGATATTAATATTGTCCTGACCAGAAAATGCTGAAACTTGCCCACCCACCCAGTTGTGTTTAGGCTTCTAAAAATAATGTTATTCCTCCATACTCAGACATCTGTTTTCACTCTATTGCCAATTTAAATGCCGCTGTATACTCTGTGTATCATGGCTACTTTCCCAGTATTTTGAAAATTTGCACAGGGTAAGGGGATTTTACAAGTTCTCAAAAACACAAAATATTCCTCTACAGTAGCCATATCATACGATGTCTGAGTGAAATGGCAGGTATCTGCATAATTAAAGAGGTACACCTGTGTATGCCCTATATCCCTGCTGCTGGAGTTGAAGTGGAATTGCGTTGGAAGGCTGAGCCTCTTCCTGGGAATGGTTAGGGAGGGCTCGGGGCTAGTAGCGTTAAGTATCAGCCTAGACCGAGACAGCCATTCCTGACATTTTGGTGAGAAGATTTTTTTTTTGGTCACGGCCTACTCCTTTTGGTCCGTGTTCTCCGCAGACAAGGAGGAGCATCACTGCTATCATGTGAGGCACTGTGACGAGCACTTTACATATGTAATCTCACTTGATCCTTACAACAGTTTTGAGGAAGTAGATACTATTTTTCCCATTTTACAGAGGAGGAAACTGCAGCTCAGACAGTCCCAGCTCATTTGCCAAAGCTGCTAACTGACTTAGGTATTTTCTATACCACAGTGGGCTGCCTTCCATTTTTAAAGGCCTATTTATTTATTTATTTAAAGTTAAATAAATAAGTAAATAAATACCTGGCTTATAAGCATTCTAGTAAGAGTTGAGGTCGTCAAATACGGTGGTAGGTGGTATTTGGGGCAGGCACAGTCAGCAGGAAGTGCTGCTTTCTTTTGTGGGTGGCCTGGGGAATTGAGAAGAGTGAAGTTTTAGGAATTACATGAGATTGGTGTTCAGCAAAACGATCAGCTCCCTGAACTGGTTTAGTGTCCCTTTCTTGGCATTTTGAAACAAACTACAAGTGTTTGGGGATTCAGGAACCTAATAATTTTTTTTAACACAGCCCTAAGTGGGAGCTTCCTAAAATGACCCATGAAGAATTATCTGGCCATCCTTTTCTTTTAAAATTCAGAATTGTGTTTTAGAAAATTAGTCTCTTTTCTGAATGTTGAGAAGCTAAGCCATTTCCTATTTCCTAACTTCCATTCAACTTAGAAGAAGAGCCTGTTACCTAGCAGAGCTTTTGAGAGGTCCTGGCCTCTGCTTCTTGTTTGAGGGCCAGAGATCAAGGGTATGGCTCAGCCTTTCATGTCGGGTAGTGGTTCTCTGTCCAGACTCTCCGGGAATGTGTGCACCCCAGGCTGACTACTGCCTCAGCCCAGCTTGTCTTCAGTCCTCTCTGCTGTATCTTTAGGTTTTTAGGTCCAGTAAAAGACTGTAATCAAGTCACCCAGTTCTAGAAAACATTTTCCAGGAGAGGGGGAGAGCATGTAGGAAATTCTTTTTGGTATGGGGATTCCTCTACTTCCTCTTTTTACATTAAATTATTTTTTTCAGTCTCCCATGTGATAGTTAATATACTTCTCCTTTGCATTGAAACCTATAGAGTAACGAAGCTACTTACTGATTCAATAATATTTTAAAGCGATTGTTTTATAACTAAAAGCAGCTATATGAATTTTAAAAATAATCCAATATATATGCGTAAGATATATTACATAGTCAGCTTTGTAATACTTAGGGTTTATATGGAGTCATGCATTCTGCAGCAACTCTGGGCCCTTGTAGGGTGTGGCCCGAACATCAGTAACCACTGCCAGGAGTCACTGGCCACGAATAAGACTTGTTACCAATACATCTGTCTCCTAAGTCAGCGTTTTCCTGGTATACTTAGCTTGCTGAGGTGGCTCAGGCACTATCTAAAAATATGTTAGTTCTCTAAATGATTTTGAGCATTGAGTTCAGTTTAAGTAAGTTTTTTTTTCTGGACCCCTTTTCAAAAAGTTGCTTATACAGGCAGATCTATTATCTATGTCGGTAGCAGTAGCAGAAGTGGGGTGAATTATTTTCTTTTGTTCGTTTTGGAATGTGCTTTTATTTCTCACATTTTACAAACTTACTAGAAATGAGGATGCTGCCTAAGAAGCTCTGACTTGGTAGCAGATGGGCAGATGAGCGTTCTCTCGCTCCTCGTGTCTCCATGGCCCCACCTTCATCCCATGGGTGTTGGACATATGTGATTCTGCCCTCTCTTAGGGCTGTACATAGGAGCTCTTTGAGGGCAGGGATTAGATTTCCAGGCTCCTGTGCTAAGTACAAAGACCACAAATGATGGAACATTTTCCTTTTTAGGCATATCTATATCACCATCTCCGGCCTTTCATTACTTTTTCTGTGAAATGAGGACAATAATTTCAGCTTCAGAGTTGTGATGAGTAAATTAGCTATACAATATTTAAAACACATAGCATAGTGTTACAAAAGCATAGTACCTGGCACATAACATTCAGAACATTTTAACATTTTAGAGCACGCAGAAGCATACTGCCTTCAACGTAAGAGGAAATACAGTTTGTTAGAGGTCAGCAGAGCCAGTAATTAAGTGCGTATCGTGAATGAAGTTGAGATTTGTCACTTTTCTCCGGCAAAGCAACTAATTAAACTTTTAGCTACTCAGATAACTAACTACTCAGAGATCATCTTTCGAACAGTATCCTGAACTTGGGTGTAACCAATTATTTTAGTCTGGTTTGCCCCCTCATTTCCAGGATTTGGAGTTTACACTTTGGTTTTTCTTAGTAGAAATAGTGTCCTTTGATCCTGAAAATGCCTCATATCCACTACCAAGGGTTAGGTCTTCGAGTGCTCTGGGCATGACCCACTTTCTCATTAAACTTTGCCCCATGGTGTGAAGCCATAGTACATGGTACATAGTACTGTTTATCTCATGTAAGTATCCTACAGCACTTAGAGTTTTAATCACTCATTTGGCACTCATATGTTATCTGGAATTGTTACTGATCCTATGCTCTGTGTTCACTGCCTCAGTAGCTAGGACTATACTTCTTTATAGACACTGCATATTTTAGTGGAAAACATGGACTCCGTGTCAGGAAGAACTGGGTATACGTTCCAGCTAGTCCAGCTACTAGTTTTGTGGCCTCAGGAAATTACACTCTTTCCATGTTTGCAAAAGGGAAACAATAAGAACATCCTTCCAAGGTTAATGTGTGGATCGTTTAGCCAAATAAACATGTTTAGAGTATATCCAGTTCCAGATACCTGTGTGCCTCGAGTGGTAGCTCCCTTGAAAGCAGTATGCTTCCTGTCCTTTTCATCCCCAGCACCTAGCACAGTCAGTATTGTGGAATAATGTAGCATCTCGGTAAATGTTACATGAATGATGAAAGAATGAGAATCCAGGGCAGAAATGTGCCATTCTTATTTTAAGGACCTTTCAGTCTGGTAGAAGATTAAAAGTAGATGCCAAATAAATTTCTTTCTGTAGTAGTTGGCATGTGATGGTGGTTCAATATCTTTTCTCAATGAAGAAGACAGTGCTTTGGATAGATACATAGATTGTCAGTATATGCTTAATGTTGGTGGTTAAAATGTTTTAATTGGCATTAGAGAATGACCCAGTGAGTTACTGTTTATTTGTATGTTTTGGGTGCAAAAGGCATTCTTTAAACATATTGAGTTCTGTCTAGGCTATTTTTTTTCAAACCCAACTCAAACTCATTGGAAATCCTATGACGGTTGCCAGACAGTTAGGGAGCATTTGAGAAAAAACACTGTTGGGCTAATGTCTTACTTGGAAAAGAGCATGATTCCTATCCACAGACAGTTATGCAGACCAAGATGGGGTATCTGGTATGCTGTTCCTGGAAGCAACACTAAAGTCTGAAACCTAATAGAATAGTTGATTCACAAAAACTCATCTGTTTCCTCCTTCTCCCCCTAGACTATAGAATCTAACTGGCGGTGTGGACGACACAACTTGCAGAGGATTCAGTGCCGCTCTGAAAATAGTAAAGGTGTCTACTGTTTACAGTATGATGATGAAAAAATTATCAGTGGCCTACGAGATAATTCTATTAAGGTGAATGACTGTATTTTGTATGTATTATTTTTAGAACTGTGGTTATGTGTTAGACACTGTATCACCGAATCCCTCCGTTTACTCCAGATTGTTTTTTATCTGTTCCACTCCATCTTGGCAGCCGTCAGTGTGGTTCTAAAAAAACTAGAGCTAGAGTATTTCCCTATACTAACACCAGACCCCTGGATTGTCTCACTTCTTATCCTTCTCTAAGCACATTCACATTCTGTATTCTGTGTTTAGGTGCACATTGAAAATATCTCAGTATCACAGGTCTCTTGCTGACTTTGCTAGCTGGTGGAAGTGTTGCTAATTTGCCTGTAAATCAAAGTCATTACCCTTTATGGGTGCTGACAAGTGTTCAGATGATAACACAAAAGAATGATAGAGCAATTTATATTTGTATGTTTTAATTCACTTTTCAATAGATAGTAGATAAACTGGATCATTTCTCTGTGTTTAATGTCTGGCAGCTGATCTGACAGATTTTGTTTTATACTGTTTGTAGCTTATTTTCTCATATTTAAGAAAACATCATGTTTTTTTTTTTTTAACTTTTTTTTGAAGTTATAATTTGCATACAGGAAAATTCGCTCTTTTTGGTGTAAAGTTTTATGAGTTTTGACAAGCACAAAAAATTGTGTGACTGTAACAAAAATCAAGATATAAAACAGTTCCATTATCCCCCAGAGTTCCCTTATTCAGCCCCTTTGTGTTTAATTCTTCCCCCTTGGCGCTGGCCTTTTTTTAAGATATTTTTTTTCCTGCCCATATAATTTTGCGTTTTAGAGACTATCCTATAAAAATGGACTCACTTTTTGAGTCTGGCTTCTTATACTTAGCATGGTGCATTTGAGAGTCGTCATTTAGCAATAGTTGATTCCTTTTTGTCGCCAAGTGGTAATCCACTTTATGGGTGTACCTCAACGTGTTTGTCCATCTGCCTGTTGAAGGACATCCATGTTTCCAGTTTTCACAATTATGAATAAAACCACTTTAAATAAGTATGCAAGTTTTGGTGAGAATATAGGTTTTCAGTTCACTTGAATAAAAACGTAGGAGTGGCATTACTGACTCATGGTAAGTGTATGTATTTCCTGCTAAGAAATGGCCAAGCTGGGTTTCAAATTTTATGTTCCTATCAATAATGAATGAGTGTTCCCCTTTTTATGCAACTTTGGCAGCCCTTGGTATTCTCAATTTTTTTTCCTTTGATATTTGCCATTCTAATAGGTATGTAGACACACCTCCTTTTGGTTTAAATTTACATTTCCCCAATGGTTGATGATAACATGCATCTTTTCTTGTGCTTATTTCCCATCTGTATATTTGTTGGTGAAGTATCTATTCAGATCTTTTGTCCATTTTTAAAATGGGTTCTTTGTTTTCGTATTATTGAACTTAGAGAGTTCTTTACATATTCTGGATACAAGTCTTTTTTTTTAGGTATGTTTTGCAAGTATTTTCTTCCAGTCTTGTGTTTTCATTTTCTTGATATCTTTCACAGAGCAGAAGATTTTTATTTTGATGAAGTGTCATGTAGCATTTTTTTCTTTTATGGATTATGCTTTTGATGTCATATCTAGGAAGTCTTTCATGGAGCTTTTTTAATCTATAAATTTATGTCTTTCATTCACCAAATTTCAAAAGTCTTTGTCCATTATTTTTTCACATATTTTTTCTGCACCATTTTCTTTCTGTCTCCTTCTGAGACTCTAATTACATAAACGCTAGATCTTTTGATATTGTCTTACATTTTCTCCAATCTTTCCCCCTCCCCGTCTTTTATGGGTAATTTCTGTTGGTCTGTCCTCAAATTGACTGCGCACTGAACCTCCTTCATAGAAATTCACAGGATAGAGTAGCATAGAAAGGCTCTGAGAAGGTCTGCAGTAGAGACATCCAGTGTTTCCCGACTTCCAAAACATATTTGACCACAGAACTCTATTTTTATGTCATACTTCCTGATAGCCCTGATAATCTGTGGCCACAGGTTAATTAATGTAATTAATAATAATTTGGGGAACTATCTTTAAGGAATAGATAAAAATGGTTTGTAAGGACCTTGTCAAAGTGTAGGCTGGCCATGGGCTTACATTTCATTTACAGTGGATGTGTTTCTAAAGAATTCTATTTATAGAGGCATACCATGTTTAATTTAAAATAGGCATGCATTTGATTTATGACATAAACAGTAGAGCATATGTGTGTTTTAGAGAGATCATCTAGACCAGTGGTTGGAAACCTTTTGTACTTCATTCTGTACCAATCCTGGATCACTAATCACTTTTTCAAAAAAAATTTTTTTTAAAGTAGGCTTTACACTGGGCATGAAGCCCAATGTGGGGCTCAGACCCACTATCCTGAGGTCAAGACCTGAGCTGATACCAAGAGTTGGATGCTCAACAGACTGAGCCACCCAGGCGCCCTACTAATCACTCTTTCAAAATAACCTGTTCTAATAGGTCTTGCTTTTGTAGAAAGATGGTTAAATGTCTGTAGCACTTGTTATATCTTGGCTATTTGCAGTAAATTTGAGGGATGCTGTAAATCATGATAGTATTATTTTACAAGGGAAGAAACAGGTCCACACAATCTATTTTTAACAATCCAATCTTTAAAAGAAAATGATTTCCCATCCCCCATTATATAGGGACAGTATTGAAAACTTGGAAAATATTGGAAAGATCAAAAGGGAGAAAAAGAGCACTCAGAGAACAAAACCAACTATTATTAACATTTTCTTCTCTATTTTTCCTTTTTTAAATATGCATATTGGTTATGTCACTATATAGATGGCTTTTATTCTGGTTTTTAAAAACCATTACTGTAATAAAGCATTCTGTTCTCTCATTAAAAACTTTTCATAGTTTAGTTTGAAATTTTTCTGAAATGTCAAACATTTTTTATTTTAAAATTTTTGTCAATAAACATAATGGGTTAGGGGTATGCATTTTTAAAGGCTCCTAATAGATACTGTCACATTGTTTTCCAGAGGGTGAGCCAACTCTTTTCAGAGTTTAAAAATTCCCTTTATAAGGCTGTAAAGTATAATGAGTATGATCGTTAGAGGCACAAAGTAAGCAAAATAGTACATCTATTTTGGAAATTATTCAATATGGCCTCTTCCTTTTTGTCATTTTCCACCTGTTTGAAGTTTAACTGCTCTTATTTACTATAACACAGGTCTGTTTTATTTTATGGTTCAGAGACAAACACATTTATCAGAATGTGATATACTAAATCACTGTTTGTGGTTGATCTTGTCTCAATAGATTTGGGATAAAACCAGCTTGGAATGTTTGAAAGTGTTAACAGGACACACTGGCTCTGTCCTTTGTCTCCAGTATGATGAACGTGTCATTGTGACTGGTTCTTCAGACTCTACAGTGAGGTGAGTGATTTGGCTTCACTGGTCTGAACTTACATATCTTTGAGAAGACTGAGATTGCACCCTTTTCTGGGATAAGCACACACATACTTTGTATATGTTTTTGTATGCTGTATTTTCAAAACCACTTTAGATGTAGGTTTATTTGAACAAAGTAGGCTGGAAAGACCTACTTTTGTTAAGTAGGTCCTATTCCTGTTGCTGTATGTTACAGAGATGGCAGTGTACTTTTTGTATAAAAGCACATTACCTAGTGTTAGGCTAGCTTTTTCCTGGGAGACCATGCTCCAGACATTTGAAAAAGTCACCAGCATGCTTAGTATCCTTTCTCGGACTCGGTGCTTTTAGGCCTACTTTTGCCATATAAGCCTGCGTCTTTCCTCCTTTGCTCTGTGTGAACTTGTCCTCTTGGGAGATTGGGTTTACAGAAAAGCTATGGCATGAAAGGGCTGCCCCTGAGAACCGTGGATGAAGCAGTAGGGATACTGGCTTTGTCCATAAAACAGTTGGGTAAATAGATGAGTGTGGAAATTGATGAGATGTCATGACTTATAGTCTCTAGTTTGCAGTGGATAAATAGACTCAGAGGCCTGTCAAAGGTCAAGAAGAACCTTAAGCTTGGGAACTGTCCTCAATTCCCCAGCTGCCAAGCCGCCTTCCCCCTGTCATCTCAGACTCCCTGCAGAGACCACCTACTTGAAGAATCATTTTTGTTGTCCTCAACACAAGCTTACAGGCATTGTCCCTGAATACCTAACATTAAATTAACCTAAACCTGGGCAGAGCCAGGATTGGCCTTCCTTTTTTGAAACCCTCTCAGTACTTCTCAGCAAATCGAATAATTGCTTCTGGGGGCTCCTTTTAAGCATGATCTTAGGTGTCAGATCCCAGTCATCAAATACAAGTGAAGCTTACACCTCCCCAGCCTCCTGCTAAGAATGGGCCCAGGGTACAGACGCTGGACTCTTTTCCTGGTTGTTTTAACAATAACGCATTGGGCTTTTCTCTTCTCATCTAGAGTCTGGGATGTGAACACGGGTGAAGTTTTGAACACATTGATCCACCACAATGAGGCTGTACTGCACTTACGCTTCAGCAATGGACTGATGGTGACCTGTTCCAAGGACCGCTCCATTGCTGTGTGGGACATGGCTTCTGCCACCGATATCACTTTACGCCGTGTCCTGGTTGGCCACCGCGCTGCTGTCAATGTGGTAGACTTTGATGATAAATACATCGTATCTGCCTCTGGTGACAGAACCATCAAAGTGAGTGTGTTTTCAGTCATAACTCTGCTTACTCCTGTCCCTATTAGAACACAGAGAAAGTAGAGGTGGCTTTTACCAACCTGGTACCTGGCAAGATCTTTATTCTCCTCCATTTGTGCTTGATCCCTTGAGGCAATCCCATTCTCCATGCTTCTGGAATCATAGGCAAGATAGGAGGAAAGGGTCATGGGTCCAGGATACAGAGCGGCCCTCTATTGCATGAAATGACACTGTTGATCACATTTTTAAGGGGAAGAGAACTAACGTGTGGAGTATGTGCTGTGTGCTAGGAGATTTTCATTTCTATGTCACTCCATCTTTTCCAGCACTCTGCTGAGGTAGGTATTGCCTCCATTTTACAGAGGGGGCTCAGAGAGTGAAGAACTGGGCTGACCACATAGTGAGTTAGTGGCAGAGCTGAGATTTGATTTATTCATTATTCACTTAATTTTGAGAACCTGCCATGCCATAGACCCTGGGCTGGATGCTGCAGATACGATAATGAATAAGACACATTCCTGCCTTCAAGAAGCTCAGCGTGTGGTGGGTGGCAGGCATGAGACAAACAGTTGTAGTCTAGGGTGATTCATAGGATGTGGTAAATGCACTGATAGCCGTATCCATATTTTTTAAATTTTAGTTCTGTTTTTATAACAACTCTATTGAGATATAATTCACATACCATTAGATTCACCATTTAAAGCCTGTGATCCAGTGGCATTTAGTATAGTCACAGTGTCAGCCATCACTAGTTTGAGAACGTTTTCATTGCCCTCTGTAAAGACCTCATACCTATTGACAGTCAACCCCCATTCTCTTCTCCTGGTCCCTGGCAGTCACTAATCTACTTTTTGTCCATGGACTTGCCCCTGCTAGACATTTCATATAAATGTAATCATATGATATGTGGCCTTTTCTGTCTGGCTTCTTGCACTTAGTGTAGTGTTTTCACGGTTCATCCATGAACATTGTAGCATGTATTAGTACGTCATTCTCGTTCTAATGACTGAATGAAATTCCATTGTGGATGTACCACGTTCCATTTGTCCACTCATCAGTTGATGAACATTTTGGTGGTTTGCACTTTTTATTTGTTATGGATAGTGCTGCCATAAGCATTTGTGTACAAGTTTTTGCACGGACATAAATTTTCAGTTCTCTTGAAGGTAATTCTGGGTCTAACATTTTGAGGAACTGCCAAACTTCTTTCCAAAGTGGCTAAACCATTTTAAAATCCCACCAGCAATGTGTGAGTGTTTGGATTTGGCTCAAAAAACCTTTTTGTAAGCAGCACGAGTTAGCATTCTGGTGTCTAGTTCCTAGCCCCACAAATCACAAAGGTAGCATCAAACTTTAGATTCAGTGGTCTGGAAGCTGGACAAGTAGGGTTTGTATGCAGTCATTGACTCACCGCTCAGTCACACCAATTGGAACGAGATCACTGCCTGGAAGTCATGAGGGTTCGGGCCTTTTTACAAAATAGCTGATGCATAATATCAACCTGGAGAGTTTCTCCATATCCTTGCCAGCACCTGTTATTGTCTGTCTTTTTTATTACCACCATCCTAGTAATTGTGCGGTGGTATCTCTGGTTTTGGTTTCCATTTCCCCAGTGACTAATTATATTGAGCATCTTTCCAGTGCTTCTTGGCCATTTTTATATCTTCTTTGGAGAAACAGCTATTTAAATCTTTCACTTAAAAAATTGGATTTTTTTTTTATCGTTTAGTTGTAAAAGTTATTTGTATGTTCTGGTTACAAGTCCCTTATCAGGTAAATGATTTGCAAATATTCTCTTCTATCCTGTGAGTTCTCTTTTCACTTTCTTGATGGTGTTCTTTGAAGCACAGATGACTTTCATTTTGATGAAGTCCAGTTTATCAGTTTTTTGTATTTTGCTTGTGCTTTTGTTGTCATGTCTAAGAAACCATTGCCTAATCCAGGAGCACAAAGATTTACTCCTGTGTTTTCTTCTGAGAGTTTCATAGTTTCAGCTCTCACATCTAGCCCTTTGATCCATTCTGAATTAAATTTTTGTGTATCGTGTGAGTTAGGGGTCCAACTTCATTCTTTTGCATGTGGATATCTAGTTATCTTCTTCAACTACAAATGCAGCTGGTAAAGTAATTCAGGGCACTTTGGTTGCTTTGCATCTCCTTATTTGGCTTGTAATATATTAAGTGTGTCTGTGAACATCTAAGTCTTGCAGATGGTTTCACAAAAGAGGGATTATTTATTCCACATACATAATATTAGGAGTGATGTGTCAAAACAAATGGAGCTGTTCAAGAAACTATGCTGGAAAAGAGGAGGATGTGAAAGGTGAAACTTTTTCACATCAGTTACATTGGATTTGACATGTCAGCTGGCATGAAAACATAAAATCTGGCCCACACTCTTCCTTCTAGGCAAGTGAATGTCTGAACCATCCAGGAGATGTTCTCTTTGTGAATATCTCAAGGTTTGGAGACTTCACAGCTTCCCTCTGTGTTTCATTCCTGTTTTATCACTCCACAGCCAAGAAAACTATATGCTGGCCAATCTGTCCCCCAGCCTCTGAACCATATTTCATAGTCAAGTATTTTGGTCATTCTTAGAGGCTCTGATTTTTTTTTTAAAAGGTGTGTTGTGAGGGGACTTTTCTGCATTTTCTTAAAATATTGCTAATCTGTTCTACAGGTCTGGAGCACGAGTACCTGTGAATTTGTTCGTACTCTGAATGGGCACAAGCGAGGCATTGCCTGTCTCCAGTACAGGGATCGGCTGGTTGTTAGCGGATCATCAGATAATACCATAAGGTGGGTAGAAGTTGGTGTGCTGACAGGGCAGGCCGATTTTTGCCATATTTTTGACTCCTCTCCCAGTCCCGAGGTTTGAAGGACTCCGAGCCTTTGGGGATACTTCAAATAAGAAAAACTTTTATTAATCTGTTTGGCTCTGCATACTGAAGCGGGTAAACTGATTCCCCCAGTACACATGTTTTAAACATCAGCTCCACCCAAGATCCCTTAATACCAGAAACCCTCAGAACAGAGGACGCTCTAGCCTGATTCTCAACTTTCCCTTACTTATAGCTCCTGTCTCCCTCACTAACAGCTGGGAGGAGTGTACTTTATTTATCTGTCTCGTGCAGAGACTGTGCTACAGAATCTCCACTCTTGTTTTGTCTTGTATTTTATCTCCCTTTTTTCCTTCCAGCACTCAGTGACCTTGCTTTCTAATAAATATGACTATCCTTAAACATTTTATTTATTAAGAACTTCCCTTAGGGGCGCCTGGGTGGCTCAGTTGTTAAGCATCTGCCTTTGGCTCTGGTCGTGATCCCAGGGTCCTGGGATCGAGCCCCACATCGGGCTCTCTGCTCCATGGGAAGCCTGCTTCTCCCTCTCCCACTCCCCCTGCTTGTGTTCCCTCTCTCTCTGTGTCTCTCTGTCAAAATAAATAAATAAAATCTTTAAAAAAAAAAAAGAACTTCTCTTAAATATCTATTCATCAATCTTTAGTCATTTTCCCATTGTCCTAACATATGCCAGTAGCTTTTTTATAACCAAATTGTTTAATGTTTGGGTAAAATAAAGATTGGATTCAAGACAATTTTTTTTTTTTAAAGATTTTATTTATTTATTTGAGACAGAGAGAATGAGAGAGAGAGAGCACATGAGAGGGGGGAGGTTCAGAGGGAGAAGCAGGCTCCCTGCTGAGCAGGGAGCCTGATGCGGGACTCGATCCAGGGACTCCAGGATCATGACCTGAGCCGAAGGCAGTCGCTTAACCAACTGAGCCACCCAGGCGCCCCTCAAGATAATTTTTAAAAGAAGGAAGGAAGGAGGGAATGAAACCACAACAATAGAGCTAAAACTGCTGTGAGTTTTCTTTTATCATTTTAAGGTTTAAGGTATTCTGCAAGTCATGTGAGAACCTGAATCTTCGCACTTTGTATTACTTAACTATTTCAGTAGTAGATAGTCCTTAATTTTCTCACCGGACTCTCTGAGGTTTTACAGAGTAGTAATGTATATTCCTTTATAGTTTATAGAGGGGGCCACTTTGGAGTCAGTGGCACTGCTGGATGGCTCTGTTCACAGTAGATTAGAGAAGCCATCATCACTGGCACTGATGAGAGGATTTGCTGAGGCTGGCTGTGCTCAAATACTCACGGGGTGGATGGTAAGAGCTACTGGTAGAGAGGCTAAGAAAAGGTTGTTACAGAATTAGTTTGCTAACTTTGTTTTCTAAATGTTGGTTTGCTGTGATTTCTTTTGGCAGACAATGTAGAAAAATCAGTAATAGAAAAATGTAAAAATCTCAGTTTTCAGAATTATTGTATATAAATCAGATACCAAGAAAAAGGCTGGATGTAGTCTGTGGGTTTATATTTCTTTTTTTTTTTTAAAGATTTTATTTATTTATTTGACAGAGGGATCACAAGCAGGGGAAGTGGGAGAGGGAGAAGCAGGCTTCCCACCGAGCAGGGAGCCCGATGAAGGGCTTGATCCCAGGACCCTGGGATCATGACCTGAGCCGAAGGCAGGCGCTTAACGACTGAGCCACCCAGGCGCCCCCTACGGGTTTATATTTCTGAGACACTTCTTGTACCTAATGAGAGGCTCCCATTGTGACCTCAAAAACTGGACAACCCTAGTATGCAGGATTATCTAGAAGGGGTGTCCCTAAGCCTCATCAGGAGAGAAGGGCCACCATGCTGGTGCACTGGTTCTAACTTCAACGGGCCTCATGGATTCCAGGCCAGAAGTGCCTGGGGTGGAAGCCTAACCTCCCTGGCTATACATCTTATATCCTCCCCTGACCCACACACATACATGCCTTTTCTTCTTTACTGCCTGTAATCTGTGCCTCCCCCAGAAAAGTCCTTGTTATACCATTTGGCTACATGGTTTCATCAATTCAGACATCAAGAGAATGCCTAGGAACTAAATTTAATTGAAGTTTCTTATTCGTTGATCTTATTTAAATAGTAATACATGCATGTGATTAAAAAAACTGAATAAGGAAATACAATGAGAAGTAAGGCTTCTACCCAAATTAGTGTTTTTTGTGTTTTTTTTTTTTTTTTTATTGAAGTAATTTCTACACCCACTGTGGGGCTCAAGCTCATGACCCTGAGATCAAGAGTCACATGCTCTTCCAACTGAGCCAGCCAGCTGCCCCCCAAATTAGTGCTTTAAAATATACAAATGGTATAAATGTACATACATATCTTTCTACGTGGATAGCATGGACTGGGAGTGAGATAGAAACAAAGAAGTCCAGGAGAGTGAAAATCACGTATGGAACAGATACAAGGAACTCAAGGATAGTGTGAATCATGTGTGGCAAGTTGTTTCACAGAGATCTGTTTTACTTCCAAGGCTATGGGATATCGAATGTGGTGCCTGTTTAAGAGTCCTAGAGGGACATGAAGAATTGGTCCGATGCATCCGGTTTGATAACAAGAGGATTGTCAGTGGGGCCTATGATGGGTATGTATTTCAGATTTTTAAATGCACTGCTGTCACTGTATCTAGAGGGAAAACGAGCGCTGTACATTCAGCAGCTATGTATGTGCCAGTTCTGTGTTAGATCCTTCCTGTGGTGACGGATGGCAGATGTTACTACACTGCCTGGTCAAGTGAGGCCACTCAGGCCCAGAAAGATGACTGGTCTTGCCCCAAGTCCTCCAGTAGCAGAGCCTCTGTAACTCCTATGCTTACACTTTTAACCATTATTGTAGATTTGGGGAGTAGCTTAGGTTGTGCAGGAATTCAGTTCTTAGCCTTAGCCCTATTAATTAAGCCAGCTGTGTGTGTGTGTGTGTGTGTGTGTGTTCAGTGATACATTTCCTTTCCCCGTTTGTTTAATTGAACAAATACTCTTTAAAAAGCCTCATGACTTTAAATGAGCAAATGGCAACTGTAAACCTTTCAAGGTGACCTTATGTATACTTCACAGATGGACTAGTTGGTCTGTTTATGGTCCTATTATTAACTTAGAGCATTTGCTTAGTTTGAAGAAAGGTATCCCTGGAATTTCATGGAGAGCCCTAGCTTCTGTCAGCAGCACCTACTCAGCCCCAGAGAGCCCCCTGATTAATGAATTTGGTGACATAGATTATCAAGTCAGGAACTGAATTTAGATAGCCTGAAGTTGTTTTCTTGTCTCCCTGAAAAAATATTTCTTCACAGTTTCAGCAATTCTGAGAATGTGGAGGTCCTTAATTTTTTCCCAAATCAAGTGTTGTTGGTTTAAATAACTTGTAAAAACATAAGCATGTTCTCCATTCGCTTTTCTAGTAGCAGTTCAGATGTACTCCTTTCTGTCAAAGGTAGTGCTTGATAGTACATAAAATAGTAACTTTTCTACTAATTGCAATTTCCTTTTCTTTTCTAGGAAAATTAAAGTCTGGGACTTGCAAGCTGCTCTGGACCCTCGGGCCCCAGCAAGCACTTTGTGTTTGCGCACATTGGTGGTATGTAATCTATTGAAATGAGAGCGGTTCTTGCGCTGGAGGATGGCTACCTGCAGATAGCCCTGCCTAGGTGTATCACAAGAAAGCTGTGTATCTCACAGTGTGCCTTCAGAGAAATGCACCGTTTTGTTCATTTTGTTTAGCCAAAATCAGAGAATATTTGACATTTACATTACAGTGAGCTCTTTCCTAAGGAGCATTAATACAACTTAAAATGTGAAAGCAGGCATCCTCATTTGTAGGTGGATTGGTTTCTTCATAGAGCACAAAATATTTCCTTCCTATAGATTTGGGAGATTTCTTAATTGTGGGTATCTGGTTACATTATATTTTTATAATACAGCACATGTTTGTATTATTATGATGGAATTTCCCCTCAGTCTATATTGTCTGGATTATTGCCTTGGCATATAAAAATATTTTATTTTTATATGTTAATCTTGCTTTAGCAACTTTGGCAGGCTCATTATTTCTAATAGGTTGGTTTTGTTCCATTGATGAGGAGACAGTTGTTTGAAAATACTGATAGATTGTTCTTATTTTCAGTAGCTTTACCTTTGATTTTGGTTTCTTTGCTTCTTGCAGTGATTAGAACATGCAGAACTATGGTTAGGGCCATTCTTGTTTTCTTCTTGATTTTAATGAGAATGCTTCTGTTTCACCATTAATTTTGATTTTGGCTGTGGTTCAGATAGATGTTCTTGGTAATGTTAAAAACATTATCCTTCTGGGGACGCCTGGGTGGCTCAGTTGGTTAAGCGGCTGCCTTCGGCTCAGGTCATGATTCCAGGGTCCTGGGATCGAGTCCCACATCGGGCTCCTTGCTCGGCGGGGAGCCTGCTTCTCCCTCGGCCTGCCTCTCCCCCTGCTTGTGTTCTGTCTCTCTGACAAATAAAATCTTTAAAAAAAAAAAAAAAAAAAAACATTATCCTTCTGGCTTTGCTTTTTACAGTGTATCAAGCATGGGTATTTAATATTGTTGTTTACCTTTCCAAGATCCTTGGTGAAGCGATCACATAGTTTTTCTTCTTTGACATATTAATGAGCCAGGATCTCAAATACAAAGATTAATTCAAAGAAAAAGCTTAGGAGGAAAAGCCAAAGTATTTGCTCCTGGGGTGAAGGACAAAGCTCAGTAAACTCTGGAACATTATTTAGGAAGCATGGATAAGTAGCTGCATTTTCAGCCTGTGCCAGGTCACTGATAGTGAGATCTGAGGGATTGTAAAGGTCTCATTTTACTCATCAGTTTGTTACATTTCACAGGAACATTCTGGACGTGTGTTTCGGCTGCAGTTTGATGAATTTCAGATCATCAGCAGCTCCCACGATGACACTATTTTGATTTGGGATTTCTTAAATGTGCCTCCCAGTGCCCAGAACGAGACCCGTTCTCCCTCCAGAACATACACTTACATCTCCAGATAACAGTCTGCACTTTACCCGTTTCAGGTGAGTACCTCCCCATGTTTAATCTTGCTCGTTGAATTCACCTTCCCTTTGGGGCAGCATTGTGATTTGGGTTCCCCGTTGGTAGGAACCGAGGTGGTTAGTTAGTGTTTATTACCTGCCTCAGCTTTGCAGAGTTCCAGTATCAGGCTAGATCTTTATAGTCACATTGAAATAAGGTTGAAACTGGAATCCTGCATATTGGGGGTTTTCACACTGGCAGACAATGTGATTCCTGTTTTTTAAAACTGTTTTCCTAAATGGTTTCCTAGGTCATATCAATTTAACGCAGGTAAAGTCATTCAAATTCTGTTTAAGGGTGTAGGAATCTCCTTTTTCTCTTTCCTGTTTTTCAGTTCTTTTATTTGAAAAGAAAAAAATCACCATCAACCGAACACTCAAAATTCTCCCTCTGCCCCTGTTATAATCCACCCACCACCACTGTTCACTAGAAGAGGGATCAAAGAAAGGTGTTTGTTGAGAAAGGCCCTAAAACCCGTTCTTCATCCATTAGACACAACAGGTACCCTGGAAGCAGAGCCCTTTGCTCTGGTTACAGGAAAACTTAGAGCCATTGTAACCATTGATGATGGCATGTTTTGATTACTAAGGGTGTCCAACCTAGAGGATGAGAAGCCTTACTTGGCTGTGTCCTGGGAACCGATGGCCCTGTTCATCTGGAGCAGTATTTCCAACTCTGAAAATTTTGCAAGGGGCCAATAAATTCTGTGCATGTTAAACTTTGCAGATGGACTAAATACGTTTGTACTTATCTGTATTACTGTGTATATATGTATGTAAAGACTGATTAATAAAATTCATATTTATTTTAAAATGTTACTTAATACTTAGTGGCTCTTTATCATTATATATTTTCCCGTCCATTAAATATTAAAAGTGTAAAGGAAGTTTACGTGCAGAATTGTGAGATTCTTTTTGATGAAAAGATAGGGTTCCTAGATCACCAAGTTACCATTGTTTCTAATATTTCTTAAGACTCTTAAGACCGAAAACACAGATGTCCAGGAAATTTGTCTTACCCAAGGGTAAGCTGACTACAGCCAGAGGCCAAATTTGTTCCACTGCCTGATTTTATTCCCCTACCGAAGCAAGCTAAGAACAGCTTTTTACACTTTCAAATAATTGAAAAAAATTAAAAGAAGAATACTATTTCATTACACATGAAAATTATGTGAAATTCAAATTCTAGTGTCCATAAATAAAGTTTTATTATAGGGACACCTGGGTGGCTCAGTCGTTAAGCGTCTGCCTTCAGCTCACCCGCATCAGGCTCCCTGCTCGGCGGGAAGCCTGCTTCTTCCTCTCCCACTCCCCCTGCTGTGTTCCTACTCTCGTTATCTCTCTCTCTGTCAAATAAATAAACAACATCTTTAAAAAAAAAAAAGTTTTATTATAATAGCCATGCTCATTTGTTTACATATATTGCCTCTGGCCATTTTCATACTTCATTGGCAGAGATGAATAGATGCCACAGAGACGACATGGCTTGCAGCGTCTAAAATATTTATTATATAGCTCTTTGAGGAAAAGTTTGCTGACCTCCGGTCTTGCCCCTGTGCCATCTATTAGTGATAAACCAAGGGTCTGCATCAGGAATGGCAAATAAGCTTTTTCTTCATGCTGGCTGAGTTTGATCAGCCGTGCCTGGCTGGTGTACTGCCTTTGAAAGAATTCTGGGACCCTCTATGGACCCCAAAGGGATAGGTGCTGTGACGGGTTGTCAATGTCTGCCTGGGTGTAGGAGGTGAGCAGTAATGACATGTAAGCCACATATATAGGTGCTGTCCCTGGTCCCAAGTGTGTTCATACCATCTCTCATGATAGTGACCATCTGCTTGCTGCTTTCTCTCTGGATAGATTCTTCATAAGCTGAAAAACCCTTATGGCAGAAATATTACATTTATTGAATCGAGTCTTAAAATAGATACTATAGGGAACTACAGAGGAAGAAGACAAGGATCTCTTGAATGATTGCTCCTCCCCACTTCAACCTCCCTTCCCAGAAATCCTAAGGAAAATACAGGGAAGGAGGAATGGACCCAAATGAAAACTGATTTCCCTTCTGGTCTTTCTTTTCCCTCTCCAACTCTCCGTTCTGCTCTCAGTGAAGATCTTCTTAAGCCCTGCCCCTGCCATCCTCTGCCTTACTGGCTTCCTGTTGTCTTCAGGATTGAGGTTCAACTACTTCATTTAGCTGACAGGAGTTTCAACGTCTAGCTGTTACCTTCTGTCCTCACTATCCACCCTCCCCGTGTCCCAGTCTCCCATTACTCCCTTCCAAAAACCTAGAGTGGCAACCAGACTGAATTCTCTTTCTCTAATTACATTATAATAGTGCAGAGCTCTACCGTATCCCTCCCCTTGTGTGTGTTATTATGGCTTTTAGACACCCCCACCTTTGCCCCTGTACTTCATCTGACTTAATTTATTATTTGATACTGAAATAGTTTGTATGCCTGTCTCCTTCCCAAGGCTGAGGAGCTCCTTTTATTGTGGAACTCTAGTGTTCAGTAGAGTGCATAAGTGTATTGTTAAGTGTTTATTGATGTTTGTTGGGCAGGTGACACCCGGGGCCAAAATGACCTATTTGTGTTTTTTCTCCTAGGCCACATAAGAATTTGCCCTTAAACAGATAAGCATGTGACAGCTATAGTGTATTCCTGCAGTCATTTTCAGCAAACATATAACTCAGTAAAAAATTGGAGTAAGTCATCTGAACTGACAGGGTCGGGTACTAGATAGGTTCCCTACATAGACAGGTACCTAGATGTACAGGTCTCCCTCTGCCCTGCCCCTGTTGTTGTTTTTTAAATCAATTTTATTGAGGTACGATTTGTGTAAAAATTGTACTCATTTAAAGTGTACCGTTTGGTGAGTTTTTACAAATGTGTATAATCCCTGAAACTCCCTCCACAATCAAGGTAAGAACATTTCTATCACCCCTAAAAGTTCACTTCTGTCACCTTTGTAGTCAAAGCCTGACCCCTCCCAGCCTTAGCAAACATTGACCTGCTTTCTGTCACTAGATGACTGTGTATTTTCTATAGCTGCACTGTTCACTCTGGTAGTCAGTAGCTATTTGGGGCTATTGAGCTCTTGAAATGTGGCCAGTGTGACTTAGGAATTAAATTTCAAATTATATTTTAATTGAACTTAATTGAAGGTTTAATTGTATTTAATTATACCTTACTTAACTTTAAATTTAAATAGCTACATGGAGGTAGTGATTACTATTTGGACCAGCATATCTTTGATCCAGTTAGAGTTAATTTTTGTGTATGGTGTGAGATGAGAACGTCATTGGTCTTTTTTTTTTTTTTTTTTTAAATAGCTGTCTAGTTGTTCAGCACTATTTGATTCCTTTTCCCATAGAATTTGCTTTAGCACTTTTGTCCAAAAATCATTTGACCCCTTATTTGTAGGTCAATTTCTGGACTCAGAATATTCTAAGTCCATGATTTATGTGGCTGTCCTTTCGCCAATACCATAGTGTATAATAATCTTCCAACTTAAAAAAATTGTTTTGACTATTCTAGGTTATTTAGGTTTTCACATTCAGTTTTGAATTAGATTGTCAAAATCTGTGAAGAGGACTGCTGGGATTATAATTAAGACTTCATTGAATTATATCATTTTGGGGGAGAATTCACACCTTAACAAATGTTGAGTCTTCCAATCCATGAACATGGTATATCTCTCTATTATTTAGGTCTTCAGTTTCTCTTAGGTAGTATTTTGCAGGTTTTAGTGTAGAAGCCTTGCACATCTTCTGTTAAACTTCATTCTTTTTCTTTCTTAAACTATACGTTTTCATCTGCATATTGGTTTAGCTGCATCCTGCCTCTGCTTTTATTTTTCCACATAAGGGAAGCACATAAAATAGGACATGGCCAACTGCAGCTATAGCTGAGCTTCTGGAATAATGGATAGGTTCAGGGGAATAGGTGTATCCGAGAACAACTTAAGCATAACTCTTTTGTATTTTTGATACGTGTTTTTTGTCTTTATACTCTGTTTTGAGAGGCACGTGATAAAATCCAAGACATCCATAGTATGTTTCCCCTCTCTGGCATATTTAATAGATGAAATTTAGAACATAGTAAACTTCCACAAATTGGATAACTTTTATATATTACTTTTAAGTGCCCTGAAACAAGATTTCTTTGGTTGAGAAATGAAATAATGATCGCCAGTGGTGTTTCTCTCATTGGCTGTGGTGGAAGGGAAACTGGTGTTACTTCTTCTAGGCCTTCCTCCTGCCCCCTTTTTGGGAATCTCAGAACAACTGCCCTTGTTATGATCCACAATTATAAATCAATGGAAAAATCTTATCTGCTCTTTAAGCAGCACAAACAATGAAACCTCAAATGTGTTTGTTTCTTCAAAGTGAATTACTTTTGACAACCTTGGCAGTCAGCTCTATAGATTTTACTGCTCTTTTCCAAATTCTTTTCATTTATTGTAACATGAAAAAAATTATTACCATGTGATACTGTAAGATTTATGCATAATAAGAAACACTACCCTAATGATGATTTAACCTTGCAGTAAAATATTCAACCCTAAAATATAAGGTAAGAGTATTTCTGTGTCAGGAAATTTAGCAATAGATTTATTTGCTGAGTCATTTTTTAAAAATTACTAACTCCTAAGAGCCTCATATATACAGTAGCTCTCTTTTTTATTACAAGACAATATATGATCATTATTAGGAAATTAGAATAAGTAGATAAGCCAAAAGAAGAAAATAAACTCCTACTCATGGCTTACCATTGTTAATTTCCTCATATATGTCCTTTCAGGCTTCTTAAAATTATGGCTGAGAAATGTACATGTTTTTAAAATACTTTTTTTTTCATTTGTTGCAAAACTCTTCTATGTCCATAATGTCAGTATTGTTTAAATTACCATTCCTAATGGCAAAGGTAATATTCAGTTGTTTGCATAGGCCCTGTTATGTATGTATATTGCCCCCCAGCTTTTAGCTGTTATAAAACACATTGCCATGACCATTTCTTTAGCTTAATCTTTGCCTTTTTTTTTTAAGATTTATTTTCTTTATTTGAGAGAGAGACCATGAGCAAGAGGGGCAAAGGGAGAGGGAGAGAGAATCTCAAGCAGACTTCGTTGAGCACGGAGCCCGACTTGGGGCTCGATCTCACAACCCTGAGATCATGACCTGAGCCAAAACCAACAGTCGGTTGCTCAACTGACTGTGCCACCCAGGCACCCATAATCTTTGCTTTCGTTACCATTGGATAAATTCTAGAAATGTCTGCAGTGTCTAGGTTAAAAGGTAAGATGTTTAAAGACTCGGATGCACAGAGTCACATTACTCTCCAGAAGAGTTAAGTCATTTTACTTTCCCACCAGCAGTGTTTGAGAGTGCCTGCTTCTTATCTGTGGGCGTTACTATTTTACAAATAATACTCTTAAAGATCCTTCATGCGAAAACAGCAGTGAATGAAATTAAATGTCTCTTGAACTCATTGAGAAGGATTCTTGATCTTTATGAAAATTGACAACCTTTTCGTGAAGTTGCTTTAAAAAAACACACAAGCTTTAAAAAAATCACTCTCCTCTCTCTTTTTTTGTCAGAGAATTTTAGACATAAAGGTAACTTTTAAATCTTCTAGGCCAGTGGTTTAGTGCTGTGTTTGGAAAGGATTGTGACCCATTAGTGACTGTGAAGTCATTTTAATGGATTTTGACTTTGTTTTGATGAAATTTAGAATAGAAAATGTCAGCCTGCATTGTATGTAGTAATGATAAGTTTAGGTATGTGCGTGCGTGTGTGCGTGTACATATTTATCTACATAGATGAATGTAGAGATTATTACTAAAATGTGTTTCTGACTCAAGGTCATGGTCAAAACAATGTGTAACGTTCAGTAGTCTTTCCCTCTACACCATATTGTCCTTTTATAAATGATTTATTTAAAAAAGAAGTAACTTCTGATTAGCATTCTATTTAGAAGGAATACTTTATTTACTAGCTTTTTCATATTTTTGTTTTACAGTGATAGGTGAGGGCTCTCAGGCAGATACGAGACCAGCCCTCGTAGGCTCTGGATGTCATAAAAGATAATACTAAATATAAAATCTAACATGAAGCATATTTTGTTATATGCATAATGTTTAGCAAGCACTGACAGTTGACAAGTTATAGGGTCAGTCATCTCTTCGAGTCCGCTCTCTGTCCCCTAATGGCTAATGCTTTGAACTAAGTGTCTCTGAGCCTTCATTCTCTTACTCATCAAATGATATCATAGTTTCTACCTCATAAGATTGTTGCAAGGTTTAAATAAATATGATGCCTGGTATGTACTACACTCAGAACAACTTGCAGCTTTTATTTTTGATGCTGATTACATTTAAAACTCAGTACCATGTCATGTGTGCACAAGTACATGTCTGTGTGGATGTGGACGGACTGTGGTGTATATCTCCATGTCTAACCAGAATATCCATCCATACTCCCTCTGTTTTTTGTTTTGTTTTGTTTTGTTTTCCCAGGGTTTCCTAGTCTTGAACTACTGGCTACATGGCTACCAAATGCCTAAGGGAGTTCTTCACAGCTGAGTTAAGAAGCTGGAATTGGTTCTAGACGCTGGGTAGATGCAAAGCAGCCTAACTCTTCCAAGTACCAACATTTCTCACCTCCGATTCCGGCCTCTACTTTGAGAAGGATACCTTAGCTTCACCGACTTCCAGTAGAACAGAAGCCCATTTCCTCCCCCCATCAGTGAAAAAAAAATCTAATGCTTCAAATGTAAATTGTTCATATAAAAGGAACGTACAGTCTGTTTTACAGAAGTAAATCGACCATCAAGAGAAGACTGGCCTCTAATTTATATTGCTTTGCACTTTGGTCTGATATTAAGAAACAGCATTCTTCTTTGGTGAAATTTTGGGTGCCAAACACCTACCCAGAATGTCCAGGGCTTTCCTTTTCAGAAGTTAGCATTCTCCTTTTGACCGTCCAAGTCATTATGAATTCTGACCTGTATTAGGAACATGTTGGACAATGGAAAAATTTCTCTGGATTGTTTTAGTAATATTTTTTGGATTATACTTCCTTTCTGTACCAATTTCTTTTAATTTAAAGAACTATAAGCCAGGTTATATTATCTCCCAACAGGTAATATAGCTCTTTTCTTTTATTAACTATTCTGTCTGTACCCCAGCCATCTCCTGATATTTGGTAGAGTAACACTTTTACACGTGTGCTTGCCTCCTAATTTAAAATACTGTATCCGCATGTAGATATAATGTACATAACAGTTTAACCTCAAGGTTGCTGGAGTCAGGGCCCCTGTGCCTGAGACACTAATACAGAGTGTGTTCGCACTTAGCCATGGGCTGGGCTCAAGAACCTGATACCAGGGTTGATGTGGATTACCTAGGACCCTTCCTGCAGTATTCATATGATATTTTTATTTTGTCATTGTCATTTTGTGTGTATGTGTGTGGTGTGTGTGTTTTTAATGGGAATCTTGTTTTAAAATGTAATTTCTAAAGTTTAACACAAAATGTTTTATTCGTTGTGTAGCATATATAATAGAGAGGTACCTTAAAATTTTTTTGTTTTTCTTTTCGTCATAAATACTCCTGAGTACTAGTGGTCACTTCCCATGGTATTCATTTGACTTTACTGTCAAAGATCATTATTCTGTGCATTAGTAACCCTGGAAAGGGAGGAACAAGAAGGCCCTATTGACTGGGTTTCGTGGCTCTGGAATGCATGCATCCTAGCATGGATGTCGCATCCTCACCAGGGTGTTAACAAGGCCTGCTCATAATGTTGGAGCCCGTTACACCAGGTCAGGTTGGTTCAGAGGCCCATCTCCAGTGGAAGGGTACTCCTATGTGGTGCAAAGCTTCAAGCTCATGAATCCCATTCCCGTCATCTCTGGTGTCACCTGCTGCTGTGGCCCTGGCAGGTTTTCCAAACTCCCAAGTGCTCTGCAGCCTGAATGTGTGGATGGCACTATCACGCTGACCGTGCACGGAAAGGACTTTGGCATTCGGTTGGCACTCCTTTTCCCTTGTTCAGTATTAGGTTCTGATTTGCCCCTTGCCATTGTTTCCAAAGATTAAGGAATGTCAGTAACATTTCCAAGGACCAATAAGAACCTCCTGTTGACTAAACCTCTTCCCGTGGAAGCACACTCTACTACTAAAGGGAAGGGCCCTGGGCTCTGTTTTGTCCTTTGCATTGAGAACGGTGTGGGGATCAATGTGTGTGTATGTGATTTGTTTCTTGGGTTGGCTTGGCTTTTTAGTTTTTCTTTTTCCTTTTCTAAAAATACATCCTTCCCTCCCACATGGTACCAAATTAATTTCTATTTTTGAGCAGTTGAGTCTCCAAGTGTAAAAAAAAAAAAAAAAATAAGGAAATCTCTATTTGTGAGGTAGATGTTGTAAGCTTGACAGTGGTTGTGGAAGTGAGTTAACTTTTACCACTCTCCACATGACAGCTTTATATCAAACTGGTTAGGAGAGCCCAGGGGTGCGGGAGGGGCGGGGGGAGGAGGCAATTCTTCTGAACGAATGGACTTTTTGTTGTTGTTTTTGCATGTTTAATATAGAAGTTCTTGTTCCTTGGGAGATCATGGCCTTCGAATATGCACACCACCTTTGAATTGTGCCTACTAAATTATAGCAGGGGACTTTGGCACCCAAGGAATTCTGACTTTCTGGGATTATAGTAGTAATTCCCAGCCGTACCCTGGACTTTATTTTGCTAACCATAATTGAGCAACTGTAAATTACTGCTATATTAATGTTTTAAAGCACTGGGATAGTCTAATTCTAACTTGTAATTAATTATGTTTGCCAATTATCTGTTTGAAATAAATTTGTGTCTGAACAGCTATGGAAACTGTTAAATTGTACAGATATTATTCATGACAGCTTTGTACTGTGGAATGTGCTTAATAAAAAACAAAAAGTTTGACTTTTGTCCAATAAATTGCTAAGTAATGTCAATAAATCAAGTATGAGTATTATGCAGTACACCTAATCTGGCTTCATGCAATTGTTACTTCAGCTACTAATTCAAAGCCAATACTCTTAATAAAGTGTTGCAATACTCTGATGCTCTGTTAAGAAATTTTTCAAAAAACTGTTACGTTCTTTCAGTAATTCACTGACGTACCATTAAGGTTGGTAGTTCTAAAAAATCATCTGCTCTGTAAAGTGGAGTTGAAAGCAGACTGCTTTCTGGCTCTTGGGGGGTTTGTGTGCGAGAATGTCAGCGCCTGCCTGGGGGTGTTTCGCTGAAAGCTCGCTTTCACCTCCGGACCTGGGAGCTAGCTTCCCATAAGTTCTTAACTGCTTCCCGGGTTACTGGAAAAATAGGAAGGGGGCCCCTTTGGTGTCCCAAGTGGCTCTGAGGGTGAGTGGATCCTCTGGGTCCCGAAGGAGCAGGTGGCGGTGTGAGAAGTGCCCTTGCTGCCTGCCCCCTGTGAGCGGCGGACGTGGGATCGTCCGTTTCCCACGCTCGCAGATGCGCACGTCACCGGTTGAGGACTCTAGCGGGAGGAATGCCATTTGCGTGTGCAGGGTTCTGCCCCGAAGTCCCGAGTAGTGGCAGAGGTTTCCCGGTAACTGGCTCTCCCCCCATGAGTCCACCAAATTGGTAACGTGGACCTTGGGGATGAGAGTACTTCTATACAGTGTTGCCTCCACCCGTTTTTCTCGTAAATGTTTTAAAAATAAGTAATACGCATATGGTTAAGAGAACCTCTTTGTAAGCCATAAGAAGACTAAAAAGTGATACTTTCACCCTTGACCTTCAGTCCCCCACTCATCATCATCCAGTTTTTTGTATATCCTTCGACAGTGAGTAATAGTCTGTGTATAGCAGGCTATGTGTATGTATCCATGTGTATGTTATACACGTACACACCCCACCCCACCCCTTCTAACGGCAGCGGAAGCATGCTATACGTGCGGTGCCGCGCTTTGCTTTTTCATCTATTCATAAGGAGATCCCTCCGTGTCCGTGCATGTGATTCTGCCTCCTTCGTGGGCGTGACCGTGTAATAGTGGTTACCATAATTTATGTACCAAGTTCCTTGAGGTGGAGTTTAGGTTGTTTCTTGCCTTTTCCTATAGCGACTATCATCTTTCACAGCTCTCTCTATCCCTGCCTGTGCTGAGTGTGAAAAACCACTGGGATTTTGGGCTCATCATGATGAACAGATGTTGAGCCCAAACACTGCTGCAGAGCGGGAAGGACCTCAGGTGTCAGGTGGTCTTAAGCTCTCCGGTCGCCTCCGACCCTCACAGAGTTGGTGTTCAGTAAATGATAGTTTCTTTCTTCCCCAACAGGTGAGGTGTTAATGCAGGAAATTCACAGCTACAAATGCATCCCGTATCGATTATGGAGATTCTAAGAGAGGTTTTGTAGAACTCTTTGGATATATAATCAGAGGATAGAGTGGTGCTTTGCCATTTCAGCCTGTTGGTTTTCTAGTTAATAAGGAGGAAGGAAGTTGGACCATCTGGCTAATAATCCTGTTACTAATTAGCTGTGTGGCAATACCCCCTTTGGGGTCTTAGCTTCTCCATGTATAAAAGAAGGTGTCACTAGCTCAAGTCCAGGAGGGCACATGCCCCAGCTCTGGATGATCTGTTGGCTTGCAGGAATGCAGACCCAGTAATGCCAGGTCTAAATTTTTAAGAAAAACTGAAAATCCAGTTTATGTAGAGACCCAATTTATAAAAGTTGGCAACTTTTTTGTGGGGGGGGAGACTTCTTAAATTCAATCACTGGAGCACCAGTTTGCTATCCCTGAACCAACATGATGTTAAGCATTTCTAGTAGTGACCTCTTGAAATATTGTGTCTAACTGAACACTTGGAGAATAGAAGAGATTCCAGAGAAAAGGGACAAATTGAATGGTATGCCTTGTGGCAAAGTGACCAGCACACAGAATGTCTCAATACATGTTTCTTTAGGAAAAATGACCAAACAAGGGAGGGGTTTGAAAAGGCAAGAGGAGGAGGGGGAAGGAGCCAAGAGCTGGCAGCCACCGTCTCCAATCCCATTGTGAGTGTTTAGACCAGCTGCCTGATCTTGTGCTGGGACTGAATTCACGTTACGGCAAGGCAGGCTTGGGGCCCAGGATCGACTTGGTCTTCCAGCTGGAGGAAATTCTGGGAGCTCCAAGACCTCCAAGATCCTGCTTTTTGTTGCCGAAAGCTGGGTCTAAGACCTCATAAACACTCAAACTTGGATGTGGGATGACTGCGTACATGGCTATCTTCAGGTGCTTATCTGCCCAAAGATGGGGTGATGGACCCCACACACGAAATGCACTGAAATCCTAATCCAGTGTTTAAAAATTTTTATTGGTTAGGTGTAGCCATGTGAAGGAATTCTAGTGCATGTCTTAAGTAACTTTTGTGTGTGTGCAAGTATGGTAAACTGGAAAGCAGAATCCTATAAATGGAGTTGTATTGTTGATTGCTTTCAACTTTGTGGCTTTTTACTCATCTGTCTCCAGGTTTTACTTAATTGTATTTTTCAGAGTAGGTATGTTGTTGGACTGGCCTGGGAGTGACAAGACCAAAGACAATCTGTAGTGGGACATGCCTGAGGAACAGCCTAAAACTGGCGTTCTGGCAGGATCTCACAGAGTACAACTTAAGCTCCCTCCACCCTTTATCACCATCTTTGGATCCAATGGACCTTTCTGTTCTTGCGTGTGTTTTCCTTCCAAATACCCTGCGGCTCTGGGGGTTGAGAAGGAATGCTCTTAGAACACTGCAGACTTTGGGACTTGGTATCACGCCCAGAGATATCCTGTGGGGGCACCGGCCTACTGGATGGCAGAGAGGAAAAGAGCATGAGCTTTGGTGTCATCAGACCTAGCTTGAGATTGGAGCTCTGCCTCCTAACTGGCAGCAGCCCCGGGAGCAAGGACATTCTCTGCCTTGAACCTGAGCTTCCTCGAAGTGGAGACAGTATTTTAAAATCACTTTAAGAATTAAATGACATAACCTAAAATGCTGTGTCTAAAATCTAAATTTAGATCTACTCAAAGCACTGTACCAGTATACCTTCAATGCCGGGTGCTTTTGGTAGCTTCTACTGTGGTTTTTAAGCAGATGGTACAGAATGTCCAGAGCGGAGAAAGGTATAGTAAAGGTTAGGGCTCAGGATGGTGTGAGATGAGACAAAAATCAAATGTGCTCTGGCAGCCTGAGGCCCGTCTGGGCCTCTTGAGGGGCAACACAGGAGCTGACGCTCGGAAGGACGCTGACGGTCCCCAGCGAGGACGTTAATGACCTGGGCTGCTCAGTGGGTGCAACTGAGGGAGAGGGACCAGATGAACAGTACCTACGCCAAGTTACTTTTGTAACTTTTGTTAGTTTTTAAGAATAATCCAGCTTTAAAAGTAGTCAGCTTATATCCTCTGGGGGTATTGCTGGGAAGAGGAGGAGACCTCAACATGCCAACAGGTTCTGTGAATTGTGTCTCCCAAGTGGACAGGCGAGAATTTCACATCCTCAGCGTGCGTGTGCATGAGTGTGTGTGTGTGTGTGTGTGTGTAGGTGGTGGGGCGGGGAGAGGGGTGGGCAATGCAGGGAAGAGGGTGGTTCAATGCCAACAACAGCAACAACAAGAATAAACATACCCACCGAATAGTGAGCGCCAGGCCTGCTGGGAATGGCTTTACACATGTTGTAATCCTCACAGAAGCCCTGTGTGGTGTATGTTAGGACCACTTGACAGCTGAGGAAACTGAGGCTCGGGTCTGTCTTGCTTGTGAGCGGCTGGGCTTAGCCTTGATTCCAGCCTGTCTTGGCTGCCACCGCTGACCTCTTACCGTGCGGCCCTCGCCTCTCCCTCTCCATGCTCCCTGGCCACCATGATCCGCAGCGTCCCTGAGGAGCCAGGCCTCCTATTGAGCAGTCCCCTTGCATGAACAGACCCTCTGCACATCTTTCCTTCCCGCTGGTGTGTCCCGGGCATGCATTCTTTGGTCATTAATCTGTGTACCTGTGCCTTCAACAATGCACAAAGTTTGGTAGGGTGCAAGGAAAGGGCAAGACGGGTGCCAGGGGCCCAACTGTGGCCATGCTGAGCAGTGGGGGCTCTCTTCTGGCAGCGGTGGGCAGCCACTGGTGGGTTTGAAGCTGGGACTGACCAGTGAGAAGGCTGGGGTCAAGATTCAGGAGAGAAATGTTGAGGTCCGGAATAAGGCAAAACACTGAGGAGGTGAGGGAGGGCGGTTTGGGGGGCGGTTGAGGGAAGAGCAGGTGCTAGCGAGGCCGCCACGGTTGGGCGTGTGTGTGTGTGTCTCTGTGTGTGTCTGTGTGTGTCTGTGTGTGTCTGTGTGTGTGTCTCCTGTGCGCCACTAGGTGGGGCTGTAGGGAAAGGAGACCCACCCCTGCTCTCAGGAAGCTTCCCGTCAGAATAGACAACACACGGTGGTTGCTACAGTGCGCAGGCACCCATGAATTCACGGGCTCAGTCCTGATGGTCGTAAGGGCCGTGAAGAGATGGCGCCTTGCAGCAGGTGCAGCGGACTGCGGGGCATCTGAGCCAAGACCTCAGTGATAAGCAGGAGCCAGCGGGGGAATGTTCCAGGCTGGGGGAACACAGAGGCAAAGGCCGTGAGGTGGGTAGGCCCGCCCTGAACAAATGGGCAGGAGGGGCGCTTGGTCCCCCAGGTAAGGGAAGGAGGGCTTGGGTAGAAGGGTGACACGTTCGGATTTGGACATTGCAGGTGCCTGAGCCGATAGTCGAGTGAAGCCACTTTGGACTGTCTGGAGAGAGGCGAGGGGTGGCGTTCGAAGAAGAGCCCAGACGGAGTCAGGAAGAACGTAGCATTTAGGATGGGGGCACGGGGGGGACAAGCCGGCGACAGAGGCGGAGAAGGAAGAGCGGGAAAGGTAGGGGCGTGATACCCGGCAGTCTTGGCAGGGCGGGCGGACGCTCCGAGAACTTGGAAAACCTTCTCTAAACAGTTGCCTCCGCGCTGCCCGGGCCTCCTGGGGAAAAATGCCTGTCCCCTCATCGGGCCGCGGGACACCTAGTCCTGCTTCCCCCTTCTTCAGCTCAGCGCCCCGTGCTCCTGATGG